GTGTGTTAAGCTCTGGATGAGAAACTGGCTGAGATTTAAAGTGGCCCTATTATGTTCTTTTTTTCAGTGTTACGTTTTATATATTGTGTAATATAGCTTTTTGTGATCATTTCAAAGATCAAAGTGCTTTATGAAGTGAGCAATTTCCTCACAAAAGAAAAAACAACATTCTGAATGGCCTGAAATGACTCAGTAATTCAAGTAATTCCTGCACATTTTTGAAACAAAACTGAAAAATGCCAAGTCTTCGCTGGCTGCCCATGAACAGAGGTGTAAAATACTGGAGTCATTTTACTTGTTTAAACCGACTGCTTACACTTTGACTTGAGTACATTTGAAGGAAAAAAACAGAACTTTTATTATTATTATTTTTTTACAGCCTAAATGTACGTGAACTTGAAAAGCATTTACATCAATTATTAGATTTACAGATTTTATTCCATCTCATGCTAAATATGCTAAAGATATTTGTTTTCCCACTGAGTATATAGTGAGAATGCACTTGCCAGGGATGATATTGATATAATGAGATTATGGGCCCTATCATACATCCAGAGTAATAAGGCGCAAGATGTGTTTGACACAATTTGCTGCTGTTTTCAGACCAGCACTACCCTAATTTTCACGTTTTGCGCCATGTTGTTTAATTAGCAAAGCCACTTGCACCACTTTGTGGACTCATGGGTGTGTCTAAAAAGGAGGTGTGTTAAGGTGCATTGTTGGCACGGTGCTTTTTTGAGGAACTGAAGACTGCACTACTGACCAACTGAATGCTTAGGGCCCTATCATACACTCGGCGCAGTGTGGCGCAAGGCGTGGAGCAATAGTCTTTTGGTAGTTTCAGCTTGGCGCAAGAGTCATTTTGAGGCGTTGCACTACGCTGTTTAAATAGCAAATGCATTAGCGCTCATTTTTGCGCCCATAGGCGTTCTGGTCTAAAAAGGAAGTAGTTCTGAGGCGGACCGCTGGTGCGTTGCTATTTTGAGAATCTATGATAGATTTTTCATTAGACCAAAACTAACCCGGTCTAAACTCCAGCGCAGAGTTGCGCCTTGCTTACGCACTGCTTACTATGCACAAGAGAGCAATAGGCAAATATCTTTACATATGAAAAAATTTAAATATTAAGGATATATATATAGTATATAATAAGAATAGATATAGAATATAAATATAAAGGATTAAAATATTACAAAACATATTATTTTCTAGCCTACATAAATTTGAAAAACCACTTCTTTTATATGTCTTCTTCATCTCGGGAGGCTTTTTCAGTTCATTCATAAGAATTTGCTTTTGTATAATGTTATTATTATTAGCAGTATTATTTAATATATCCATTTATATTTGTTTTATTAAAAACAAGCTTAGATTTGCCCACCTGTCAGGTTTTAGACCATATGGGGCATAGCATGTGTTTGAGGATATAACTCAGGTTTTTGAGCACATTTTGCTATTATTATTCATTTATTCGTTTGCTGGAAATTAGAACTGAATTTAGAAATAGTTTTGAAACTAATATTTGCGCTTAACAAAAAAAAAGTATTTATTAATAGACTAATTGATGTCTGTGCGTAAAGGTTTCCCTATCCAAGAGCGAAAGTGAAAGTGATCCATTATCTCTCATTCTCACGCAGTAGATGCTCTGTTTAACAGTTTTCTGTTAAAAAACTGTTAACTGTTTGCTTGTGAAAAGCTCATTTTTTTTCACTTAGACTTACTTTGGGTCCTGTAAATAACGAATGCGCTCTTGGCGCGACGCAGCTGACTCTTAAAGGGAATGGGAGATGAGATTCTAATTGGTTTATTCTCAAAACACACCTATAACTCATTAAGAAAATAAACTCAACCCTTTTAGAACATGCGCCGCGGCGCAAGGCAGATTTCCCGTCCTTAAATTAGTAAAAACGCGCCCTGACACGCCCTGAAAGCGTTTGCGCCCTGCGTTTTGCGCTCTGCGCATGGACCGTTAAAATAGAGCTCTTATAGTCTTAAGTCTAGCACTGAGAGCATTACTTGTGCACCTGTAAGGGGCCAAATGCTTACACATTGCCCAATACACACAGGATGTACAGCAATACATATTTACATGTAAAAAATTAAAGGATTAAAATGTTACAAAAACTTTTATTTTCTACAACCACTACTTCCATACCTTCTTCGCCTCGGGGGGCTTTTTTCAGTTTATTCATGAAGGAGGCCGGTGCGCTCTGCAGGTGCATCCACTTACGCAGCAGCCTCATTCCGTTCCCACGGCTCTCGGCCACGCCCCCTCGCCATAGCATATTTATATTTGTTTTAATTAAAACAAGATTAAAATTTGTCCACCTGTCGGGTTTTGGAGACGTCTGCCTCTCTATATAGGGTATAAGTATAGGACAAGGGTTTGAATGTAACTCAGTTTTTTTGACCACACTTCGTTATTATTGTTCATTTATTAATTTGCTGGAAATTAGAACTGAATTTGGAAATAGTATCTTTGTGCTTAACAAACAAAATTAAATATGTAGGCTAATTGATGTCTTCAGTGGAGTGCGTACAACACTGTTTCCTTATCCACAAAAGTTAAAGTAAGGAGTAAAAGTAAAGAAAAAGTAAAGATGTTGCATGGAGGAGGCTCATTCTTTATCCTCGTGCTGCAGATGGTCTGTTTAACTGTTTTCTCACTAGTAAAGCGTTCAGTTAGAATCTTAAAGGGAATGGGAGATGAGACTCTAATTGGTTTATTCTCAAAACACACCCATAACCCATTAAGAGAATAAACACAACATTGTTTGACCATACATCAGTGCACAGAGCTTATTTTTTCATCCTAAAAATAGCAAAAGTGGATTCAGACACACTCTTAATGCTTTTGCTCTATCGGCTTTACTTTTTGCGCCTAGATCGTTAAAATAGAGCCCATTGAGGCTGTAAACACCTTTGTCATTAATTTTTCAAATTATTGTGATTTTAAGTTGGGCAGGTATATTTGTAGGAATAGGCAACAATACATTTGACAGATTTCGCTTTTTTGATGAAAAATGTAATATTGTTTTGTAAATTTCATTTTGTAAATATAAATGAAAATACATTTTTATTACTTAAAACATTGCTAAGAACCTAATTTAGACTAATTTATAGGCAATGTACCAACACAATTTGAAAAAACTCACAGCAATTTGGAACTTTGATTGTGGCTAATTTGTATTAATTTGTAAGATCTAATTTGTACAATTTAGTACGATTTGCTCATCCCCAAATGATGGTTGGGTTTAGGGGTGGGGTTAGGTGCCCTCCTCTTTTTTTAAAAGCTTACAATTTCGTACGACTGAACTTGTATGAATTAGCCACTAAACTGACAAAACGTAAAATACTTGCGTTTTCTCGTGAGATCAGGCTGGATGTACTTCAGATTTCAGACTTTTAGTTGTATCTCAACCAAATATTATTCGACCCTAACAATAAAATATATTAGTAACTATAAATATTTTATAGTTACTAATATTTTTACCGTATGACTGATAATATTTTTTGTTCTGGAGAAAGTCTGATTATTGTTTTATTTCGACTTGAAAAAAAGCATTTTTTAAATTTCTTAACACCATTTTAAGGACAAAATTAATAGCCCCTTTAAAGCAATTTTTTTTCGAACAAACGAACAAACCACTGATATACAATAACTTGTCTAATTACCCTAACCTGCCTTGTTAACCTAATTAACCTAGTTAAGACTTTAAATGCCACTTTAAGCTATATAGAAGTGTCTTAAAAATATTTATTAAAATGTTATTTACTGTCATCATGGCAAAGATAAAATAAAAAAAGTTATTAAAAATGAGTTATTAAAACCATTATGCTTAGAAATGTGTTGAAAAAAACCTTTTCACCGTTAAACAGAAATTGTGGAAAAAAATAAACAGGGGAGCTCATGATTCTGACTTCATCTATATAAGACGTGAGTAAATTATATTAAAGAAAGTAAATGACAGTAATTCAGTGTTGGGCTTTGGAAAAACATGCCAGCATTCCTAAACTGTATTATAAAATACTCTAATAGCATCTGATATAAAGTATGTATAAGTTTATACATATTTAATTTGCCACATTTGTAAAGTTTGAAAATGCACTAGAAAGTGGAAAGTGCTTAAATTGACCATAAAAAAAAAAAGTTTTTGGTTAGTATATATTTTGTCTGTACCTTTTCTGAGTCCGTCTTGCACCCCTGCACATGAACAAAATGTACCTGCCCTTTAATAGTTCTTGACACATAAAGGATTGTGCTTTGTGTTCTCAAAATGTCGAAAAGTCTTTTTTTTTTCATTTTGTGCAAATCCACTTTCATGAAAAAAGCACTGCACGTTATGAGACAATTCAACTATATTTGACCTTGAACGGATGTAAACATGTTGTACGAGACCTCCAGAACGAAATTAAAAGCGCTGAAATGGCATAACAGGGCCACTGTAAGTCACACATTCTTCCAAAGGACGACAAGTCTTAAGAGATTTGAATGGCATTCTCAATAGTTTTATGCGATTGTCAAGCTTGTCAGTATGTCTCCAGCAGGAGTTGATGTCACACCCTTAGACCCACTTAAAGTTATTTACCTTCAGACTCCGGCATCCAGATGTCTTGTGCCTTAAGGAAGCATTCATATGCAGGAAAGACTTCGTCTTCTCAATCTCTGCCGCTCTGTCTGCACTGAAGTGTTTCTAAAACCTATTTACAGCCACTGGGGGTTTGGAAAATAACCCTATGCATTCACCACATGCCATCTGTGGGTTTCTGCCAAAGGGCCTGGTGTCACGAGCTGCTTTTTTGTGCAATAAACAAACAATGTTGTGTAAATTTATGCACCTTTGCTGACATGTTATTAATCATTGTCGAGTGGAGCGGCTCTCCATGCTGATTGCGGCAGCCTTTACATCTTACACTGCACAGTTGTCAGGAAAGTTCGAAGCTTATTCAGTTTTAGCGTTTCTTATTCTTTTTTTATTTTTTATTTAAATGTTTTTCAGGACTTATCACCACCACGTCAAGAAAACTGGATAGAGAGCAACAAGCCGAGCACTTCCTAGAGGTGGGTTTCTATCATTTATATTGCATAAAATAAAATATATAATATGTTCTATAATTGTTTTCTGTAAATTGTGTTAGGGCTGGGCGATATGACAAACAACTCGTATCATGATATAATTGATTTCATATATATACTCCCTGAAAAAAAGTCTTGTCGCCTATTCAAGTTTTAGGAGGAACAAATAATAACTTGACTTCTAGTTGATCATTTGGTTTCAGAAGTGGCTTATATGAAAAACAAAGGCCTCTAGATTGCGCTTATTTTACCAAAATAAAATATAATCATGTCTTGATTTTTAATTAATAAATTAGGACAGTAAGGTTTAATTTTGCTTAGACAAAAGTCTTGTCATTTAACAGGAATAATGTAGTCAAATAACTTATTAACAAAGTAATCTGGAATGGTAAGGAAAACGTTCTTCCAGGACTCCTTGAGTTCATCAAGATTCTTTGGATTCATCTTCAATGCCTTCTTCTTCACCTTACCCCAGACATGTTCAATAATGTTTATATCTGGTGACTGGGCTGGCCAACCCTGGAGCGCCTTGACTTTCTTTGCTTTTCTTTAATGAAGTAGAGGCTAAAGTACAGTATGGGAAGAAGCGCTATCCTGGGGCAGCATGGGCAGCACAAATGGCTTTATACTTTTGTTGATGTTGCCATGCACTCTGCAGATCTCTTACACGCCCCCATACTGAATGTAACCCCAAACCATGATTTTTCCTTCATCAAGCTTGACTGATTTCTGTGGAAATCCTGCATCCATTGGGTTCCAATAGGTCTTCTGCAGTATTTGTGATGATTGGGATGCAGTTCAACAATGCAGTTCCAGCCTCTGGCGCCTTGACTGCAGCTCTGCACAAGACGTTTGGCCAATGGAAAAGTGGTCGTGCCCAATTGAGCCAACTACACTGTTTCAATTTACTATGATATTTTATGTGAAGCTACTTTGACACAATTTACATTGTAAAAGCACAATACAAATAAAGGTGAATTGAATTGAACAAATGATTCATCGGAAAAATCTACCTTCTGTCACTTTTCCAAATGATCAACTAGAAGTCAAGTTATTATTTTTTGCTCTTACAACTGCACTCAAAAAATATTTCATTGGGATAGGGTTAGTTAAACTTAAATTTTTTATGTTCAATCCACATAAATTTGTTAAAAGGGTTGTTTACTTGTGTGTGTGTGCGTGTGTGTGTGTGTGTGTGTGTGTGTGTGTGTGTGTGTGCGTGTGCGTGTATGTGTGTATACATATATACATACACACATACATACATAAATACTGAATTTTTTTTCTCCATTATGTAGGGTCTGAAAACATGGAATACTTTGAATTGATATATATTTTTTGGTCCCACTTTATATTAAGTGTCCTTAACTACTATGTACTTACATCAAAAACATTAATACAATGTACTTACTGTGTTTATAATGTATTTGAGAACACTTGTGGTGCTTTTGAGTTGGGATAGAGGTTGGGTTATGGACAGGTTTGCTGGTATGGGTAGGTTTAAGGGTGGGTTAAAGTGTAAGGGATGGTCAACAGTGTATTTACAAATGTAAATACCGAAGTTTAATTACAGATGTCATTACATACATGTATTTTATCAAGCATAAGTACACAGTAAATACATGTATTAACACAATAAGTACATTGTAACAAACTATTAATTCCTATGTAAGTACATATTAGTTAGGGTCACTTAATATAAAGTGGGACCTTTTTTTTTAAATTATTTGTGCCAAATATAGATTTGTATTAAACGATTTTGTATTAAATGTTTTCAATAATGAAAAATAAAGTTGTATCATTTATGCATAAATTCCTTCTTTTCTAAGGTAATATTGCAGAAAAAAAAGAACTTGGTATATTCATATAGGGTCTACTATTTTACTGCCTTTGTTTTGTTATTTTTTACTTTCTGGGGTTTGCCATACATGAATAATACCATGGAAAAGAAAAGCATGTCCATTCTTCAAAATGTCCTTTTTGTACATTGATAAAATATGAAACATGCAGGTTTAAATTGACATCAGTGCAAATAAAAATTTCAACTTATGTGTGAAACAAACTTGCAGATTGCCATTAATTTTCAAGGGCACCATAAAATAAGCTCACGAAATGCTGAATTGCCAAAACTTTGCTATAACGACGTAGCAAATTGAATTACAACCCATCCACAGCCTCAAGTATTAAATTGATTAACATATAGGATACACACTGACTAATTTATTGATCTATTGGTGGAACACATTTGCCTGTCCAACAAATCACACAGAGGCTACCAGTATCCTATGGAATTCTTTGGAATATAAGGGGAAACATTTGTATTATTGAGTGACACATAGATTTACAAATTCCAAACAGTATTTCCATTTCTAACCTTTAGGAAATAAGGTGCAGTACAGCAAGCAAGCCGCTTGCATGAGCAATATAAGTGACAGAAAGGATAAAGCTAGTACTGCATGCCGACCAAGGACACTTATTTATCATCAAAACACGTGCAGATGTGCAAATTTTCATACAGTCTGGTGAGCAGCTCTTAAATTACTGATCAGTCAGTGAGGGCAGTACAGTAGCGTGGATCAATGGGTCGGGTGTGGCTCCTCGTGATCCCTGCTCTACATGGGACAGGATGGAATGAGGGCCATTGATTTTGTGTTCACTAAATGATGATTCACTCTGCAGTTTCAAAGTTCATATATGGCATCTAGAGCCCTCAAGGTGGCTTGCTTTTGAGAGCGGCCCAGGCATTGGTGTCTCCAGTGATTGACACGGACGGAGCCCTTTAAAGATTCAGTCCAGCGAGGCTTTTATGATCTGCTCGCTGCTTGTGAGATTGCAGTGATGCAGTTTGCCTGCGGCCCATTTTTTTGTGACCGCTCTCTGATCAAGTTCTGGGAATCTCCTGTGTAGTGATGTGTTGAACAGTGAGATCAGTTGAACCTCTGTGCCTTTTTTTTTCCCCCTAATGAATAAATTGTGGTCGATCTGGTTTTCAATTATTTCAGAGTAGAAACTGAGGAGAGGCAGGTTGGTTTTTTATTTGCAGCAGTTTTCTCTCTCTTTACAGAGAAAGAAAAAGAGACCTTTTGACTTGTGCTACACTTTAGAACCAAACTTTACATGAAATCTAAACTTTATTATTATTATACCCTCAACACAATCACACTGCAATATGTTCAGGAGGTGGAGATAAATAAATGAACAGAAAGAAAGAGAGATGTAGGCTTGCCATGATATCCCTGAGGTGTTTTTGTGGGATTTCTAGGGTGTTGTGGGTACCGTAGCTGCTAAGTGGTCATGGCACTGGCCAAGAAAGTGAAAAAAGCCTATCCTCAAGTTGCTTGATATGTCTTGAGCGGGTGCCTTTTTCACTGAAAGTCTAGGATTTATTTATTCATTGATGTTTTAAATGCATGTGTCATATACTGAGTTAGAAAAAGTTACTTTTAAAAGTAAAATATTACAACCTTAAGCCCATCTGAGATAGAAAAATAACAGCAAAAATAAAATAACCCATTACTTTCCTTAAAAATGGAAAAGTAACACATTTAGTTACTTAAAAACAAAAGGGGGCTGAAGATTGTAATATATTAGTCTGAAATTCATATATTTATTTTCTTTTCGGCTTAGTTCCTTTATTAATCTGGGGTCGCCACCATTTTCCAGCATATGTTTTATGCAGCGGATGCCTTTTCAGCCGCAACCCATCACTGGGAAACACCCATACACTCTCACATTCACACAAACACTACGGACAATTTAGCTTATTCAACTCACCTGTACCACATGTTTTTGGACTGTAAGGGAAACCCAGAGAAAACCCTCACGAACATGGGGAGTACTCCACACAGAACACATGCAAACTCCACACAGAAATGCCATCTGACCCTGCCAAGGCTCGAACCAGTGACCTTCTTGCTGTGAGGTTACATCGCTACCCACCACTGTGCTGCCCGTAGATCCGATATGTAGATCTGAATTTGTTTGGTATGAGTTTAAATGTTGGATATGTACTGTTAAATGTGTGCATATCGTATAGACAATGTTCTGTAGTAAAAGATTGCAAAAAAATGACAAAGTATGGTTATAACCATTTACATACATTGTCAGGAGGGTGACATGATGGCTCAGTCGTTAGCACTGCAGCATGAAGGTTGCTGGTTGAGTCCCGGCTGGGTCAGTTGGCATTTCTGTGTGGAGTTTGCATGTTCTCCCCGTGTTTGTCTGGGTTTCAACCGACTGCTCCGTTGTCCCCCACAGTCTAAAGACATAAGGTACAGGTTTACCAGTACTGAGTTGCAGCTGGAAGGGCATGAGTTGGTAGTCCATTCCACTGTGGCAACTCCTGATGAATAAAAGGACTAAGTCAAAGGAAAATGAATGAATGAATTGTCAGGAATAAACAGGCAAAAATTCAACAAATGTACAAATTGTGTGTGTACTGTACAACTATTCTTTTGACAATAAGGGTTGGGTTTTGGAGTAGTGTTAGGGTAAGGCAGAATAATAATTTTTTTATTACATTATAACAAACATTAAACCTAAAGTATGTAAAAGTCCTCATAATCCACATATTCAAGTATATCTGTAATATAATATCTGTTTATTTATTTATTTTTGTTTATTTATTTCCTTATAGTAAAATTTTCAAAGCTTGAGTTTGATACTGTTTTATGATTTTTAACACCTTTTTTGCAGAAATATATTCTAAATATATTTTTAAAGGGACTTTTAGACTAAAGAAAGGCTTGTAGATTTTGTAATTTTTATGATATTCCATCTAAAGTAGTTATAGCAGGTAATGACATTGAAAAGGTGTTTATTTACAGTCAGGTTAAAAATTTTTAGAACATAGACATAGTTCTAACATGTTTGGCTCTTTGGCCCAAAACAATGGATTTGAAATTAAACGAACAAGATGTGCTTTAACTGCAGACTGTCAGCTTTAATTTGAGGGTATTTACATCCAAATCAGGTGTAGGAAACAGTATGTGTTAACAAGTGGGAGGCACATTTGCAAACTGCTGTAATTTTTACACTATTCACTTGATTTGGATGTAAATTAAATGTCAAATTAAAGCTGACAGTCTGCAGTTAAAGCACATCTTGTTTGTTTAATTTCAGATCCATTGTGTTGGTGTATGGAGCCAAAAAATGTAAAATTGTTTTGATGTCTCAATATTTATGGACCTGTTTGTATATCTACAGTATATTGCAAAACTGTTCATTGAGAGCTCCACAGAGTCAATATGGCTGGGCTGCTATAGTCTAACCTTTGATCACTCATGCCAATGCCAAATGTTCGGTTTCAATGGTGATAAGTCCACCTTTAGATTACTTTTAGTAGAGAAGCCGCAAAAAATCAAACCACCCATGGGTGCATTTCCCAAACAACGGCATAACTCGCAGCTGAACTATTATAGTACGATGCACCGTTTGATCCATTGTTTGAACCATGTCAGTTATAACGTAAAACGCCCATAATGATGCTCTAAACCGGGTGGTAACAACTTCTTCCGAGAAGAACCCCATCATTTATTTGTGAAAATTATGTTGTTTTACACGCACACACATTTTTAAAAAAATCCAATATTAGTTTTGGTAAAAACATGCACTCGCTTTCCATATTAATTGAAATCTATGTATATGGCACATGTATAGAGCCAATGTTTCCTTTACAAATGTTATTGAAAATATTACATATTTTATTCTAAAACATAAATTCACTTACAAAAGCTAACACATTTTCTGATATCATATATAAATCACATAAATAAATGAGGCGATTTATTAAGAAATAAAATTTTAGATTTATTATTTATAAGGAAATGTAAAAAATCCTAGTTTAATAATAATATAAATAATAATAATGATGAGGATAAGGATGAGGGCGGGGTAGTGGCGCAGGATGATGATGATGATGATGATGATGATGATGATGATTATTATTACTATTAAGTAGGATGTTTATTTATTTATTTTTTAAGTTTACTTTTACATGTTCTAACCAACAGGCCCATGTAATGTAAAGTACAGATACTTAATAAATAACCTATTATAAATTAAAAGCATTAACGTATGCTTTGTTTTTTGTTTTCACAAGCTTTGGAGACATAACATAAATTCAGCTTTTAATAATAGGTCACCTATAGCCTTCATCATGAGCCGCGGCTGTTCAAAATGACAACAATGTTTTCAAAGTGCTTTGTGAAGGGTGTGCAATTGTAAACATGAAGATTGCTAAAACTGAACTGTAAAAATACTTTGAAAGCAAATTACTCATAAGAGTGATGGCATTAATGCTTTTTTTATTATTTTTTTTAATTTTTAATATTTCAATTTTAAATGTTAGAATTTTCTAAAGGAATAGGGCATAGGGGGATAACTGGGAATAGAACACCGCCAGGAACTGTGTTGCTAACTACAGCTGGTGAAGGTCGCAAGCATACAAGTTTGTAATGCAGTTTGTGAATGTTCAATGGAACTATAAATTTGGGAAACGCTCAATCAACAAACAATGTTTGTAACGACACAACTTGTGACTTTAGTTGGCTAACCAAGGTTTTCGGAAATGCACCCCAGACTGTTGCATATCCAGTGTAAAGGATGGGAGTGGATCAGTGATAGTTTGTCACTATTCCACAAGAAGAATGCCTCAAAATCCCCCCGGCCACTGTGCAGGACTTGTATCTGTTACTCTCAAGTTGAATTGATACTGTATTGGCTGCAAAACATTTCATTGTCCAACCCTTGTTTGTGTATAATTATATAATTATACATCACATTTTGAAGTCTACATCAAACAAAATGTATAACAGTTATCTTATATTTAAAGAAAACACATAAAGTATTGATAAATACGTAGAGATGATGATGTGGATGATGTGACAGCAGCCACAGGACAACAGCGCCAGTGCGCTCACCCCACACTAGCTATTGGTGGAGTGTAGAGATAGTGATAAAGCCAATTCAGTGGATGAGCATGGTTTGGAGGCCGTGATCGTAAGGGCCGATTGAGGGACACCGGGGTTACACCCCTACTCTTTACGAAAAGTGCCATAGGGTTTTTAATAACCACAGAGAGTCAGGACCTCAGTTTAACGTCTTATCCCACTGACAGTATGGTGACCCCTTCATTTTTACTGGGGCATTAGGACTCGCACTGACCACAGGTTGAGTGCCCCCATTGCTGCCCATTTAACACCATTTCCGACAGCAACCTAGTTTTCCCATGTGGTCTCCCATCCAGGTACTGACCAGACTCAGCCCCAGGCCCAGAGAATTCCTGGTGGGCCGGTTCGTTTTTTGGCCGCGAGGGCCGGTGTTTCTAGCTGCTTGCACTCTAAGCAGTCGCACTTTTTTTTTTGTTTATTTATTTATTTGACCATAGCCTCACTTTTTTTATTCATTATTTTGCCACAGCTCCGCTCTTCTTATTTATTGTCTCGCAGCCCCATGAGCAAAATGCAGCCTGCAGGTTAATGATGAAGTAACTATCATTCCGGCCACACAATTGTAACAGCGCCATTGTGGTCCAGAGGTCAGCATGTTGCGTTATGACGCCGTCTATCCGTATTCTAATCTCACCTCAGTTATTCTTTTTTTTTTTTTTCATTTATTGTTAAGACATATAAAACTGTAAGGTTGTTGAACGTTTGAAGTTCTAAAGCAGCTGTTTTCTTTCAAAAGACGTGATGGTGTAATTAGAAACTGAATTGAAAATGACCTTATTTTAATATAGTCAGACGTGAACTGAGGTGGCCCGGTCTAAGACTTGAAACTCCAGGGCTGAAAAGGAGTCCCACTTCGGCCCTGCTCAGCCCTGCGTAGCTTTAGTGAGTAACCATTCTTGGGCTGCAGAGTGATATGACTGTGACTGTGGATATGACTGTGGAAAATAAAGGATACATTCTGTTTTGCAAGTAAAAAAAAAAAAAAACTTTACTATTAGACTTGTATTGTTTTAGTGCTTGAAAGATGCTTTTGTTGTTTTGTCATATCTGTCTTTATTGTCAGATTCTTATTTACTTTGTCCTTGCTAAAATGTATTAGTTTATTTCAAGTCAAGATCTTACTGACCTCAAACTGTCAACAGCAGCACATTTAAAGAATGAATATAGACATAAGAAAAAATACATGAACATTGGTGAATGAGTGAACGTTTGAATAGTAAATAAGGACCTTCAGAAAGTCAACTCATAGCTGCACTGACCTGTTAACATTGCCACTGAAATTAAAACCCACTGCCTACTTTATCCTCAGAAGCTGTGCATTTTTCATCCTAATTTTGTTTATGCCTGTTTATCTAGGTCACAGTCATGGATGGAGGAGGGATCTTCAGGCAGTCCACTGTCTGGGTGATCGTGCATGTCCAAGATGAAAATGACAACACTCCTGAATTCAAAGAGTCTATTTATCGAATCAGCCTTCCAGAGCGGGATCGAAACAAACGCGGAGACCCAGTCTACAGAGTCTTCGCTTACGACCGAGACGAAGGATCCAACGCAGACCTCACGTACAGCATCGTGGATGGAAATGATGACGGCAAATTTGTTATCGATGCTAAAACAGCCATGGTTTATTCCAAGAAGATGGTCACGGCTGGTGGCTATGATATTCTAACGGTAAAGCACCAGACAGATGGCTACTTAAGTGCATATTGAGACTTTTTTTTTTCATGTCAAGCTTTAGCAGAATAAGTTTTCAGCTCTTTCTGCTTCATATTTTTCTCTGCCCCGCTCAGATAAAAGCCATTGACAATGGGACCCCTCAGAAGTGGTCGACGGCCCGTTTGCATGTTGAATGGATTCGGAAGCCCGTGCCTTCGCCACTAGCCTTGCGATTTACTGCAGCCGTTTACAACTTCACAGTGGTGGAAAACGCTAAAGTGTATGAGTCAGTTGGAGTGGTCTCCGTTTGGCAGACAGAAACCCCTTTATGGTTCGACATCATCGGTGAGCATCAATAATGCAGCAGTTCCAGTCATAAATTAAACAGGGTTGCAAACTTTAATGTCCCTGGTATTACTGATGTTACTGTCCGCTTAGGATAAATCACCTGCGATGTAGCATTCCTCAGTTGCTTCGGATAAAACCGTTTCGGATAAATGAACAAATGTAAATGCAATTTAATGGAGTGGACGTCTTCAGTAAACTGTGCTGACAATGATTTACTCCATTTGCTCGTCGCATTAAACTGCTCTACGTATTTATCATTTGCACCTATATTTTCTGCACATGCTGTAGTTGGACAATAGAAGATGCGTGGATGATGAAGTTAGTCAACTTAAATATGCAAAGAGGGTCATTTTGATTAAATCCTCTCGGTGGTTGGGATTTTGCTGAGCATTGCAGATGTTGTCCCACGCTTGTGCAAATTCATTTGGGAAAGTTCCAAATGAATATGTGTTTAAAAATAGTGGTTTTATGTCCTTGTTCTGCTTAAAGGGTGGATTCATAAAATGCAAGTCAACAGCTACTGCCAATCTGAGAGTCAAATAACAAACAAGCATACAGCCTGTACAAAATGGAATTGATTACGTGACCATTTCTCTCAGAAAACATATTTCTAAAGGTGTTGTTGACTTGAAATTTTCACCAGATGTCAGTAATAAACAAAGTAACCTATGCATACAAAGAACAGAAAACTAATTAGTTTAGAAGTTTAGTTATGTGTAATAAATTTTAAATGGAACAGGGATAAAGTGTGGGTTGTTTTTAATCACGTGGTTCTGGTGACATGCAAAATTCAGATGGAGTGCAGGAAGTAAAATACTAAATGGGAAACAAAAACCAAAGTCTGTATTTTTGCAATTTATACCATATTTCAAAAGAGATATAATTAGAAAATAGCCACATATGTTGGGCATGATCCTTATATCATCAAGAGGGCAGAGTTTTCTACAAAACTAAAATATATTTGCCTCTCATCGGGGCGGTATATACTGTATAAGCTATGTTACATGAAAAAATACTATAGTAAATACTATAGTGTATGAAAGCAAACTATAAATAATTACTTGTATTGATGCTGTGTTACGACACTACTGTTGTAATAAGCAAATCATTCAAAAGGCTTTTCACCATCACAATGCACCACAGTTTGCACTAACGTTACAGTATTTATTACAGTTTATTTATTACAGTGTGACTTAGTTTGGCCAATGCAAACTATTATTTTTCATGAGTCCAGCATCCAGCTGTGCAAGAAAACACACAATCTGATGTAAGTGAAGTCTTCTTTAGGTACTGTATTGTTTTTAAAACATTTACAAGTAACTTATTTTCTATGTATTGGAGTTTTTTTTAACCAAAATATGACCAATCACCAATAAAAAGGTGTGAACCACCAAAAGAGGCTCATATTAAAATGAATTGTTATCCATTAATTTGCAATCAAATATAAGTTTTTTAAATTTCATATACATTTCAAATTTTTATTTTTATTTTTTTTTTACAAGAAAGGCTAGAAAAATCATAAAGGTCATTAATTATTAATATGTTTATTTTTTTTTTCTTTGAAATGGCCAAATTCTGACTGAGGAAAGTTGAAAGTTGTGCTTTCGGCCAGTTGATTATTTGCCTAATAAATGACAATCGGGTATTTTTTAATTAAATAAAATTCAAGTTTTTAATTTAAAACTAAAACAGATTTAAAACTTATTTTTTTTCTAATTTGTATTTTAAAATTAAGATTTTATTAATATTTCTTTATTCTAAATTTTTTGGAAATTTTTGGGACATCGAAAGTGTGGTTATAATGACCATCCAACTAGCTAATTCAGTTAAAATATCACTAAAATTAGTATTTAAACATCATTACAAAAAAGAGGCGTATAACTGCAAAAAGGTCCACATTTTAAAAAAAGGAACCACAACATTCACCAGGCTGGCTACAGGCATGTTGTTGAAACCACATGCACTAAAAAATAAATGTTTGCTGCTTGTTTAAACTACTTATTTAAAATGAAACAACACAGTTCTTGAGTTACATAAACGTGAAAGCGCAAGTGTTGTGGGCATTATAACCATTGGATATACAAGCGCAAATGCATGAGCAAAAAAATAACACAGGTGACAGTTTGAGATATCTATTTTATATTTAATTTTGCTAATTTAATTTAATTTAATATACAGTCTGAAACTGCGTGATCGGGCCCGATTAGATCTGTACATCCCTTCCTTATAAACAAAGTACATTTCAGTGGTTCAGTACTATCTTATTGTGTCATTCCATTGTCATTACACAACAATTTGGAGAAAAAAAATGTTCACTCAAAATGGCAATTCTGCCATTATTTATCTATTCCTCACTTGTTCAAAACCAATTTTAATTTCTTTCTTCTGCTGAACACAGAAGAAGATGCACTCATTGACTTCTATTGACCATTTCAATGCGGTCATGTCACTGGCTCGTAACATTTCCTGCTTGTTATAATAATATTTCATACCTGTAACAAGAGGCAATTCAATCATACCTTTTTAATATTAAAACAGCTATCATAACATTATTTATCTATATATAGCTGTTTTTGGATTCTTGGAAGCTACAGTAATTAAAATGTGAAACAGGAAATACGTTGGGACCATTGTTTTTGTTTACATCCCTTAAAATGGTTTATAACATTTTTTTTTTTCCAACTATGGAGGTTGATGGGTGCCAGCAACCAGCATTTGTCAAAATCTCTTGTTTTGTGTTAGACAGAAGTAGGAAACTCATAAATGTTTAAAACCACATGAGGGAGAATAAACGATGAGATCATTTTTATGTGAACTCTACTTTTAATATGATCTCTTGACATACATTTTCTGTTTTTCCTCTCTCTCTGTGTGTTTTTCTCTCTCTCTCTGTGAAGGTGGACGAACGTCACGGGAGAAGTTTTATATCCCGCAAAGCTCCTGTGGCGCAAACTGTTCATCTGACAGTGGTAGGCTAACTGTCAGTATTTTGTAGCTATTTTCCTGTGTGTGAAGGGTTTGGCTAGTTTATCTGATACTTTTAGATTCTCGCTTTAAAAACTCCCTTTGCCGCAAGGCAAACGTGAAGCGCTCAATCCTGTAAACACTTTGAGTGCTAAGATACCTTCCAGACTTTGGGTCTTCTGATCTCACTTAAGTGCAGTGGAAATTGAGTGGAATTGGAACAGATGCATGCAATGAATACTAAAGATGCTCCGCAAGTATGCCCTTATCCGTCAGAATGGACCTGAATTAATGATTTTGCGAATCTGCCGTGGAGAGGCCTGAACCTGACACAGATGTTTGTGGAAGTCGAAGATAAGAGTCCCGAGGCTGATGGGAAAGATCCCAACATCAAGCGGTGGATGTTTCGAAAGCTGTGAAACTTTGATGAATCGCTGTGAATCATAAAAAATGTATTTCTCACAGAAGCACATGGCAGTGTGATTGGTTAAGTGTTTACCTTGATCCTTTTCTGCAAATCCTTTAGCTCTTCGTTGGATAAATGAACGCATGCAGTGCATTTTCTGTCACTTCTCATTTTTCAGATCACGCTAACTGTGATTTCTTGTTTTAATAGGTAACTATGATGGACCGTTTGATATTCAGAGAGGCATTGGAACCATAGTAATAGCAAGACCTCTAGATGCGGAGACGCAGTCGCTATACAACATGACGGTACAGGTGACAGATGGGACAAACACTGCCACTACACAGGTATATTATTAGTTACGCAAACATCCCAGAACTATCCGTAACAGATTTATGACTGCTAACTTTGCAATAAAAAAAAATAGTCCTGGCAGCTGCGGTTGAAATATCCGAGAGAGAATCATCTCTTGGATTTTAAGCAGCATGCCAGCTTTTATCTAATTCTATGAATGTACTGTTGCTTTGTGAAAGAGATATCTATTTAATCTGCTCTGAATACGTCTTCAGTTCTGCCAGGGGGCGGCTGTGTATTCCAGTGTCCCAGAAACCCACATTGTATTGTCACTTTAACATGTGTATTTTCCATTTCTAATTTAAGCTGCTTTGACATCAGTACAGATTGCAGATGTGTAGATTGCTTGTAGGTATCTGTTTACATTAGATGAACTTCACAGTGAAAAGCTGAATGGCTCTTTGTCTCCTGCATCTACAGATTTACATAAAGGTTTCGGACAGCAATGACAACACTCCCATTTTCTCGGAGCACACGTATGAAGTCTTGGTGTCTGAGGATACACCAGCCGACACTGAGGTCTTGCGTGTCAGGGCCAGGGATAGGGATGAACGGGCAAAATTAAGCTACTCTATTCATAGCAGCGTTGATCCAGCCAGCATGCGGATGTTTAGGATCAATCCTGGTACTGGTGTTATGTACACAGCTGATCGACTGGACTATGAGGCCCGCACTCAGCACATTCTTACTATTATGGTAAGAAACAACCATTTTCTTATGCAGCTTAATGAAGGTTGCAATTAATTGATAGATTTGATAAGTTTTTTACTTTTGACATGCAATAGGGTCTGAGAGAAGTTGAATTTATTTGAATTTTTTTTTTTATTTAAAAAGATCAGAAAAACATGTAAAATTAAACATAATTATATATTTTGTGTTTAATACTATTATGAATTAAGGTCTTTGCACACTGAGTCTAAAATTTTCTAATGTCTTTATCATATTATCCGCCACATACATAAAACATATGCCATAGTAATTGGTGGTTCATTCTGCTGTGGGTGATAAATAAGGGACTAAGCTGAAGAAAGAGTTTTTTAAAAAATATATTTGTTATCCTAAAGATGTGTCATGCACAAAAACCTTACACACTGAGCGCTCTATTTTAACGATCTAGGCACAAAGTCTAAAGCGCATGGAGGAAAAGCATTAAGGGCATGTGGCCGAATCCACTTATGCTATTTTAAGGATGGAAAAATATGCTTTGAATCCCAGCACATGGTCTAACAGGATTGTGCTTATTCTTTTAATGAGTTATGGGTGTGTTTTGAGCACAATGAGCACATTAAACCTATTAGAGTCTCATCTCCCATTGCCTTTAAGAGTCAGTTGCGTCACGCCATGACGCATTTGCTGTTTACATGGCGGACTTTGTATGTGGAAAAACGAAATGCTTTACTATCGAGAAAACAGTTAAAAAGACCATCTGCAGCATGAGGATAAAGAACAAGCCTTCTCCATCCGACCTTCACTTTCTCCTTACTTTACTTTTGCTCTTTACTTTAGTCCTTTTCTTTTGTGAAGTAAACATTGTTGTACACACTCCACTAAAGACATCCATTAGCCAACATATTTAATTTTGTTTGTTAAGCGCAAAGATTTGTGTCAACTATTTCTAAATATAGTTCTAATTTCCAGCAAACGAATAAATGAACAATAATATTGTAGTGTAGTCAAAAAACTGAGTTATATCCAAACACACCTCATGTTCCTATGCTGCATATGGTGACAAATACAACTCCAAAACCCAACAGATGGGCAAATCTAAACTTGTTTTTCTTAAAACAAATAGAAATATATCAGTGCTATAAATAAAGCATATAATAAATACTGCAACCAATAATAATAACGTTATACAAATGTTGTCAGCATAAAAACTAGCTTTTAGATGGTCAATAGTGCAGTCTATTTCAGTTTCTCAAAATAGCAATGTGCCAACAATGCTCCTTAACACCCTTTTTTCAGATCGGAACACCCATGAGTCCACAAAGTGGCACAAATTGATTTGCTATTTAAACAACGTGGTGCAAAAACATGAAAATTAGGGTTGCGCTGGTCTGTAAATAGCAACAAATCGCGCCAAACACGTCTTGCGCCTTAATGTGGCGAGAAGTGCTTAATTTGTGAATTGCGAGGTCCTGGAACAGATCAGGGTAATGGATACGGCATGTTGTGGAGGAAGGGGGTTGCCATGGACAAAAGTGAAGAGGGTTGGGGAGTCACGGTTAGAAAGTGAAAGTGAACAGCAGACGTGGGAGGAGGGCGATTGAGGAGAGGGATCGGTAAAATGAGGTGCCGGATCGGATTTTAAAGGTTCCAGATCCAGCGTGTTCCGGCACAAATTAAGCCCTGGCACCGGGTGAATGATAGATCCCTGAGTCTGATGTATATGAATGAATCTGTTGTGAAAAAAATCACAAAGCCCTTTGCAATTTTTTTATGATGAACAAAAGTGTCTATGGCAGTGTGTAATGCAACACTGGGTTAATACAATCATTTTTTAAAAACCTGCTAATTTTGTTAAGTGTGCGGTGAACAACAACTAAAAACTCAGGGTGCAATGAAGAAAAAAAAATTGCATACTTTTATTTTGTTTAGCATTTGTTTTTTTAACAGAATCAATGTGTAATGAAAAACAAATCTTATGATTTGTTTGATCCAGAGTTAAATATTTACATGAGAAAAATACATTTTCAAAAAATAAAAAATAAAACATTTAAATGATGGACTCTTGAACCCTACAGAATTTACAGTGTATTGTATGTAAGATAAATATAAATATCGTTAAATATAGTTGAGCATATCAGATGTTTTATTTTAATGGTTTATTACTGTCTATTTTTACTTCTTTCTTCTGCTTTTGCTTTATTCCTCACATATCTTTTAAATGGAACAACTGTTAGCGTTCTTCTCAGCTCTGCTGCTCTTTCTTTCCTGTCATCTGTTTTTTTTTTCCAGGTGAAAGATCAGGAATTTCCATATTACAGAGACTTGGCACGGATTATTGTGACTTTGGAGGATGCCAATAACCAGCCTCCCATTTTTACTCAAACTAATTATGATAGTACAGTGTTTGAATCAGCCCCTCCAGGAACATCAGCTTTGCAGGTGATCGCTCTGGACAGAGACTTTGGGAGAAACAGAGAGATAGTATACTCAATTGATGCAGGTAAACACTTTGTTCTCGGCTTTGGAATTTATTACACTCCCGGATAACATTTCCATTGTTCAGCTGTTTTGAGTAAAACGGATTGTCTGTGCCGCTGAGTGTGATGCATTAGCTCATTCTTTTAACATGTCATGCATCTTAAGATTTATCTTTTGATTTATCCTTTATCTGCCCCTTTTCATCACAAACTGAAAGGCATGTGTGTGTTTTTTTCCTCCTCAGGCAACACTGGTGGCATATTTGGAATTGATCCACTATCTGGCATCATTTCAGTAGCCAGAGAGCTGGACCTTACAACTGTGGGTTTTTATACTCTTACTGTGAGAGCCACAGATGGAGGTACCCCACCGTTAAGTAGCACCACTACTTGTAGGATCGCCATCTCTCTGTCTGATTTCTCCAGTCCAAAGTTTGCCCAACAAGAATACCAGGCTGAGATCACAGAGAATGTGGCTGTCGGGACTTTTGTCATAATTGTGTGTGCAATCAGCCGATCTATGCTGATTTATGAGATTAAAGAAGGAAATGACGAGAGGAGGTTTAAAATTAATCGTTACACAGGTGTTATCACAACACAAAAGGATTTTGACTTTGAGATGACCTCCTCATACATACTGGTCATCCAGGCTGTTAACATGGCCGGGATTGCCTCTAGTGTCACTGTCTGCATCCAAGTGGTTGATGAAAATGATAATCCTCCCGTTTTCCAGGATCTCACATATACAGGAACCATCAGTGAGGCAGCCCACGTCAATAGTGTGGTGATGACAGAGGATGGAAAGCCCTTGGTAATTGAAGCCACAGATGCTGACAAGAATCACAACGCCCTCCTAGTCTTCCAGATTGTGGAGGAAACAGCTAAATTGTTCTTTACCGTGGACTCGGGAACAGGTTCTGTCAGAACTATAGCCAAGCTGGACTACGAAACCTTCAGCTCTTTTTATTTTTCTGTAAATGTGAGGGATTGTGGCAGGCCTCAGCTAACAGCAGAGAAGCCAGCCAAGGTCCTAATCAGGGTTGTGAACATCAATGACTCTCCCCCTCAGTTCTCACAAGAAGCTTATGAGACTATTTTGCTTCTTCCAACATATGTTGGGGTTGAGGTTCTGAGAGTAGAAGCCACTGATCCAGACATGACCACTGATCTAATGTATTATTTGGCTGATAGCAACTTGGAGCACTTCGAAATGGAGCCATCATCGGGGGTCCTCACTGTTAAAAACAGCAAACTGTCCAAAGACCGTTATCGTTTCAATGTCAAAGTGTCAGATGGGCGGTACTTTTGCACAGCACTTGTTACTGTGCTAGTCAGGGAGGCAATGGACAGTGGCCTCCTTTTCAGTCAGACTTCATACTCCTCCTCGGTACTAGAGAACAGTGTGAACATTACCACAGTGAGCATTGTAAATGCTGTAGGAAACCGCTTAAATGAACCACTAAAGTACACTCTTTTGAATGCAGGGACGAGCTTTACAATTCGTCCCACATCAGGGGTCATTCAAACCACAGGAGTCCCTTTCGATCGAGAACAACAGGAATTGTATGAACTGGTGGTAGAGGCGAGTAGAGAATATGACCAGCTGCGAGTTGCTAGAGTAACCGTCAGAGTAGAAGTTGAGGATGTTAACGACAATGCCCCTGAATTTGTAGGCCTCCCATATTATGCTGCCGTGCAGGTTGACGCACAGCCTGGCTCATCCATCTTCCAGGTGTCGGCGACAGATTTGGACAAAGGAATAAACGGCGCTGTGTATTACGAGCTGAAGGAGAACCATCCTCATTTTGAAGTGAACAAGCTCACTGGGGATCTTACTCTTAAAAAGATCTTTGATGCAGACTTGTCTAATGTTGAATATCCACTTGTCGTCCTTGCACGTGATGCAGGCTACCCCTTCCTCTTCACGGTTGCTGAGCTTCCAGTTACAGTTGTGAACAAGGCCATGCCTGTGTTTGACAAGTCTTTTTATGGCATATCAGTAAGAGAGGACATTGGGGTGTCCACCCCCATTTTATGCATAAACGCCACAAGTCCAGAAGGCCAAAACATTATATACACTATCGTAGAAGGGGATCCCTACTTTCAGTTTGACATTGGCTTTGACAGTGGTGTAATTAGTGTCATATATCCTTTAGACTATGAGACCACATCCAATTACAGACTAACCATAAGATCTACAGACACTCTAACTGGAGCTAGATCTGAAGTAGACGTGGACATAGTTGTTGTGGACGTAAATGACAATGCTCCTGTATTTCGAAATACCTCATACTCTACAACTTTACCAGAAAACACAATGATTGGGTCAAGTGTGATACGGCTCTTGGCAACAGACAAGGACTCTGAAAAAAACAATGTGATCAGCTATGAAATACTTTCTGATGGATTTAACAGCACAGATTACTTCCACATTGACAGTACCAGTGGACTTCTGCTAACAGCTCGTCTTCTGGACTATGAACTTACATCAAGCTTCAGCTTTATTGTTAGGGCAACAGATAACGGTTCCCCATCCCAGAACTGTGAGGTCACGGTCACCGTCTTTTTGAGTGACGTGAATGACAACCCACCATCCTTCAACCAACCACTTTACGAAGCCTTTGTGAGTGAACTGGCTCCCAGAGGGCACATTGTGACATGCATCCAAGCTTCTGATTTAGACAGCTCGGACGCTGAGAGTTTGAGGTACAGCATACTCTCTGGAGATGAAAAAATGAACTTCGTAATAGACTCACAGACAGGTGTCATCTCGTTGTCTAGTCAGCGCAGACAGGGAATGCGGCCAACATACAACCTCAATGTGTCCGTATCAGATGGGGTATTCACCAACACTGCACAAGTGAACATTCGAGTGATGGGGGCCAACCTTTACAGCCCTGTTTTTAGTCAGAGGTTTTATTTGGCAGAGGTCCGTGAGAATGCCCCTGCTGGTTCCAGAGTCATTCAGGTGCGTGCCACAGATGAGGACTCTGGGATTTTTGGCCAGATCATGTACTCCTTCATCAATGATCTTGGAAAGAGTCAATTCAACATTGGAGCTGATGGCCTGATAACAACCGCTCAGAAACTTGACAGAGAGAACCCAATAAACCGAGACATTGTATTGACTGTTATGGCACTTGATGGAGGGGGAAGAGCATCCTTCTGCACTGTTAGGGTAATTCTTGCTGATGAGAATGATAACGCTCCACGTTTTAGGGCTATGGAGTATAGAGTTAGCATAAAAGCTAATGTGCCAATGGGATCACTGGTGACTCAGATCCAGGCTCAGGACCCAGATTCTGGTGACAATGGCAGAGTTGCCTACTCTCTGTACAGTGAAGCAAGGCTCCCCCTAGTAGATGTGCTGGAGATTGAGCCTGACAGTGGGTGGATGGTCACAAAAGGAAGCTTGGCACATCTCAGAGGAACGGTACTGTCCTTTTTTGTCAAAGCTACTGATGGAGGTGTCCCAGCCAAACATTCTCTTGTGTCTGCATTTATTCATGTCTTGCCACCTGATGCAAGCGTACCCTCTTTCTCCCAACCCCAGTACTCTTTTACAGTCCCAGAGGACACACCTGTTGGGACAGCCTTAGGATCAGTGTATTTAAGTCCTGGGCAGACTGCCTTATTTTCTGTGGTAAATGGGGAGACTGGGGAGAGTAACCAGAGTGGTACATTTTTGGTTGAGAGAGAAACAGGACTTCTAAGGCTTGTTAGCCCCCTTGACTATGAACTTACAAACATTTACCATTTCAAAGTTGCAGCCACCATGAGGCAGGCACTGGTGGAGTCCATGTCTGTAGTAGATGTAGAAGTCAAGGTGCTTGATGTGAATGACAACAAACCATTATTTGAAACCAGTTCTTATGTGGCCATGGTCATGGAAGGCATGCCTAGAGGTACTCGAGTTATTCAGGTACGAGCACTCGACCCTGATTGGGGCTCTAATGGACAAGTTAATTACAGCCTTGGCCCAACCCTAAACCAAGAGCAGGAAAAAGCAAGTGGATCTGTTGCTGGTGCAATGTTTGTTATCGACAGCAAGACTGGTTGGATCACTACTCTCGGTGACCTAGACCATGAAATTTGCCCATCTTACACCTTTAACGTTGTGGCGTCTGATCTAGGTGAGGGTGTCTCGCTTTCCTCCACAGCTGTAGTAACTGTTGCAATAGCAGACGTCAACGACAACCCCCCCACTTTCGAGAGGGAGTATTACAGAGGTGCAGTGCGAGAGAGTGACCCACTGGGGGAGGTGGTTTCGGTGCTGAGCACTCGTGACGGAGACAGCTCTGATCAGAATCGGCTTGTCAGCTTCCATATCACAGGTGTGTATTAAAGTAGGCCACTGGAGGATGATTTATGTTTTATGGAGGCTCTCCGGGAAAGATAATCACATTGAAAGGGTTTAATTTAATGAACTAAGTGTGCAAAAGCTATATGAGTAAAGAGCCATCTGCTTTATGTGTCACATTACTTTGTTTAAAGCCCATCTGGGGATGTGAACAGATTGTTAGAATTAAGCTCAGTTTATTGTTTCCAATAATGTGAGATACTTTATATACCCTCTCCGAGAGTGTCCCTAAGTGTTTTGGTTCACTTAGCATGCTCTTAGTTATTTTGATGGTTGTTAGCACACATTCTAATTTAATGTTCAATACAGTTTATGAAAAAAATATATATTAGCAAATTAAATACAACATTATACTATAATAATTAAATATAAAGTTGTTTGGTGACTGTGCAGAGCTTTACAAATCTGCTTTGTTCCTGCATCTCGATTCTGTGAGCATCTTTTTGTCTCAGGAGGAAACCCCAAGGGAGTGTTTGCGCTGGCTCCTATTCAGGGTGAGTGGAAGGTTTACGTGAAGCGGCCTTTGGACAGAGAGGAGCAGGATCAATACCTGCTCAATATCACAGCCAGCGACGGCCTGTTTGTAACCCGCATAGGCGTGGAGGTCACTGTCATGGATGCCAATGACAACAGCCCCATCTGCAATCAGGTCTGAGCAATTGATTTAGACTGACATTTGTCGTTTAATACAACCCAAGTTAACAACTGGCATGTTTATTGCTTGCATACTGATCTAAATGAAGTCTTGTTTTGCATTTTGTTCTTATAATTAAGTACTCCTATTATTGTTATTTATTTTATTTTTTTATGTTTTAGGCTGAATATAAGGCCTCATTTCCAGAAGATGTGGCTGTTAATACTGCTATTCTGAAAGTTGGAGCAACAGACTTGGACACTGGCGCCAATGCAGAAATTCAGTACTCTCTGTTTGGCATTGGTGTTGAAGATTTTTTCATGGATGCAAATTCTGGTATTTCTGTGCTACCTTTGACGTACTTTTGACACATTTCATTATTCAGTGTCTTAAATCAGCTTGAATACACTACACAACTTTTGCTCAGATTTGTACTGGAGGATTCTACACTAGCTGCAAGCCAGAACATTTCTGTAGATTTTGAGTTGTCAGATGAAAATAAATATTTTTTTGACTATTATTATTTTCTTTAGAACATTTCATACAAGTTTAATATTTTAGCTAATATTTAGGACAAACTGATGTTTTATTTTTATGTAGCCGTTTAAATAGTTGCCAAATGTATTATGCATATTGTTTTAAAACCTCTTCAGATTTTAAAACTCATGTTGTGTATTCCAACCTTTACTTTAATTGACTTAATTTGGTACATTTAAGTGTTCATATATTATCCCAAATTGACTAGGAAGTTTAAAGCATTTCTTTGATATATTGCATTGATTTAGTAATTACCTCATTGACGTCACGAGGCTTGATTGAATGAAACATTTATGACACACAAAAAAGTTAGGACCATCATTCATTATTTACAGTATCATTTATTCATCTCACTTTACTTTTTACTTAATGCAGCTCTGGCCCATGGTTCTGCATTTTTATTATGCTTCTCTATTTTTGCCAGGTGAACTGAAGACGGCCGCTTTGTTGGACCGCGAGAGAACTGCAGGTTATATGTTGATAGCGCAGGCTACCGATGGTGGAGGCCTTTTTTGTCGCTCTGAAATTTCTTTGACCATTCTGGATGTTAATGATAATGCCCCATCATTTGCTTTCACACGGTTCATGGCGAGTGTATATGAGAGTGCAGCACCCAAGGCCTTGCTCACACGCCTTCAGGCTAATGATCCAGATGAAGGTAAATCATACATGCAAAATTAAGGTTAGGTTTAAATGAATGCTAAAGGCATCTTGTGATTGATCCCCACATCTTTATTTTTTAGCTGTATTTTAACACCATTTCTCTTAAACACAGCTCTCCTTTAAGCTTTAGTAACTTTTATATTATATCTGTTTGTTAATGAAGCTTTGTAGTATCATGGATCAAAGTGTATGCTAAATGAAGTTAATATCTTACTAAAGGAAAACCATTCCAAATTGCCTGACACAAGTTATCAGCAGCTCCAGCACAAACCTAAAAAAAGCTTATAATAAATTTGCAGCTAATGGCCTTCATGATTTACCATCAATGTCTACAACACAGGTCTGGGGGAATACGTGGAAGGCAACAATAGTGGTTCAATTTATATAAAGAGCACTAAACTGGCACCATTCACAACACCACAAACAGAGTGAAGTTCAAAGATTTATTTACAAATCAATTAAGTTAGAGCTTCTCAACCACGTTTCTGGAGGACCACTATGCTCTGCACACTTGCCGTGTCTCCATAACCAAACACACCTGATTCAGATCATCAGCTCATTAGCAGAGACTGAAAGACCTGTAATGGGCATAATAGACAAAGGAGACATCCAAGACCTGCAGTGTTGGTAGGACTTCAGGAACATGGTTGAGAAACACTAAAACAAGTTACACACAATGTAGTGATTTCAAGAAAGCACTAGCTTTAGTAATGGAATCAAGCCAAAATAACAAACAAAACAGGGTTCTGTTTGGAAGTTAAACCTCTAAATAAGCTACAAAAACAATGATGAAAAATAACAACAAAACTACTGACCCCCTGACTGACCTCAAAACAGGAGAAAAAATCCCGAAAAGTACAGGCCATCCACCTCCTTACCTTTCTGGGGAAAAAGTAAAAAAAAAAAAAGAAAGAAAGAAAGAAATCAAAGTTTAAACAGTGGTAATGTTCTTAGCAACAACAGAGCATACCTGTAAATACCAGTAATCAACAGGCCAGACTATAATCTCAACAGTTCACAACAACTCTAGTACAATCTGAAACCCAGTTTGTACTCTGAAGAAAGTTTCCTCTCTAGCTCCTTTCTCAACATCTGAGTGTCTGGCCTCTGTTTTTCACAGCTGGAGGAAGCAATCAGCAACCTGCTAGAAACTCAGGAGGGGAGGAGTCAAGGCAAAAAAGGAAGAACAGGGAGACAGACATTCACAGTATAAATATCACAATAACTGTAAAGAATATGTCTCTAAACGTAACAGTCAATTTTGATGCAAAGTTGCAAACTCAAAAGGTTGAAACTGAGCATTTAAAAAGTTTAGTTCATGTTGCTGACTTGTTAAAAACAGACTGTTTTCTACACTGTAAAAGCAAATATTCTTTGCATGCTGTTTAAAAAGATTACGACTCTGTTCCAAATAACATTTGAAAATTTATTTGATGTCTCTGTTGTGAATAATCTACAGTTTACCATTTACTATATCTGAATTTCATCAACAAACTATGCACTGAATTTTCAGCTGCAAAAATAAATAAGTAAATTATATATATATATATATATATATATATATATATATATATATATATATATATATATATATATATATATATATATATATATATGTGTGTGTGTGTGTGTGTGTGTGTGTGTGTGTGTGTGTGTGTGTGTGTGTGTGTGTGTGTGTGTGTAAAATAAAGAACAGGATATTTCTATGTAGTATACTTTTTCTTGCTGCTTGCAATAGCTCTATTGTGATGTCATGGCAACAGTGGAAAACTGTCAACTCACAACACGTTCAATGTCAATAAAATGTGTTAATTTATTTTGTAAAGTCAAAATGATCTTTAATTTTAAATAATAAAATTTAAATAATAAAGTAACTGAGTTATAGTGTAAATTAAAAAAGTTTCGGCCTAGAATTTTCATTTTGATGCATGCATACAACAACCTGTCCATCTGGCCAATCAAAACAGAGTAGAGACTGTTAAATGTAATCTGCAGTGCCTGGTCTTGTTGGTTTCAATATTGGTTTTGCTGGTCTCGATGCTAGTCTTGCTGGTTCAATACGGGTTTTACTGGTCTCAATGCTGGTCTTGCTGGTTTCAATGCTGATCTCAATGGTGTTCGGGATCAGCACTGAGACCAGCAAGACCAGCATTGAAACCAGCAAGACCAGCATTGAAACCTGCAAAATCAGCATTAAACCAGCAGGACCAGCATCAAAACATACCTATGCATTTGTATTTGCTGTATTTTTCAGCAGGGAACCCAATGAAGGGCACTTTAAATAACCATTGAATGTAAACTAAAAATAAACCCCCCTTCCCACATAGGTAGGTAGATAGATAGACAGATAGATAGATAGATAGATAGATAGATAGATAGATAGATAGATAGATAGATAGATAGATAGATAGATAGATAGATAGATAGATAGATAGATAGATAGATAGATAGATAGATAGATAGATAGATAGATAGATAGATAGATAGATAGATAGATAGATAGATAGATAATTTTTTCCTCATTTGAATTATACTAATTAATCTGCCTTCTCACAGGTCTGAACAGGAAGATTGTGTACTCGCTTGTTGACTCTGCTGGTGGCGTCTTCTCCATTGATCCATCGTCTGGTCTGGTGATGCTCGAGAAGACCCTGGATAGAGAAGTACAAGACTTGTATCAGATCAGGATCAAGGCTGCAGACCGAGCCGGGGCCGAAGGTTCACTCTCCGCCCAGGTGGACCTCACCATCATGGTTCTGGACGTGAATGACAACCCACCTGTGTTTGAAAAGCAAGATTATTCAGTCACAGTGCCGGAAGATGTTGCAGTTGGAACAGAACTGCTGCGTGTCATTGCCACGAGTGGCGACATTGGAGTGAATGCAGAAATCTACTATCGAATTTTGTCTGGAAATGAGCTGGGGAAGTTTTCCATCGATGATTCAAGAGGTAAGACGCATGTTTTCTGCACATTAAAAATGCATTTCTAGACCGGAATTATTTAGTTTGACATTTTTCTGTGAATTCACTTGTAGCTAACATAGACAAAGGATTACGTTGAGGTCATTTATCGTTCCTTTTTTCACAAGTCAATGAAAGACATTCAAGAAAGTCTATTGACTCTAGACAGGACATTATGATTTGACAAAGTGAATGTTAAAACGGCACAATATATGTGCAGCGATTGGGAAAATTAGTTATGAATGCTCCACAAAACCCTAATAACTGTGCTTAACATGCAGAAAACATGGGGGCAGTTATTGAGAGCGTTCTTTGTCTATTAAAAAGATGTGGGCAGTCGGCGGAAAGCTTGAAATATAGCAGCGTCTTTATAGTTATATCACTTCCCTTGTATTCAGTTTTGACAACAGAATAAAGTACTTCAGGTTTAAATCCTTACTTTGAAAGATTTAATCTTATAAAGGTGCAGCAGGGAAGTATTTCTTCTGGCTGTTGTGTGTGAACTTAAATATTCTGGCTTTTCATGCGTCTTTGTACTGCCGGTTATGCAACCTAGTGTCTTTCATATTTATCTAAATTAACGACTCATTTCTCACATGATTTCAAGGCATCATTTCTGTGGCTGATGATCTGGACTATGAGATCTGCAAGGACTTTTTCTTAAACGTCGAGGCCTTTGATGGCGGCTCGCCTCCCTTGAGAGCCGCGATTATTGTAACCATCGAGCTCCTGGACGTCAATGACAACTCGCCCTCATTCAGCGAGGAAATCTACAATGTTCTGATCAGCGAAGACATAGCCATTGGAGAAACCGTCACAAGGGTAAAGTTCTCTCATTAACCGAGCCACTTCATTGGCATTTAATTATCCGCAGACATAATTTTAATTTCACGGCTAGCATATAATTAAGCGTATTGCTCACATAAATCCCCTTAATGAACTCACATTAGTTATTCATTTGTACTGTGTGTTTGAGCTGTAATATAATTTACCATAAGAGGTTGTAATGTGCTTCATGATCCGGATTAATTCGGGGAGTTTGGGCCTCTTGAATATGCTGGGATATACAGTCAAAGCAAAAATGATTCATTTTGATATTTTTTACTAGTGGGTGCAGGACTATAGTCAGCTTAAGTTAGTGAGGATAGCAAAATAATGTAAACTTAAAAGACATAAGCTCAGGTTTACATAAAGCTAGAGACTACAGGTTATCATTGAAGGGTGGAAACAAATTAGTGATAGTATTAGTGATGTAACAGTATGAAAGTTTCATATCATGATTACAGTGACCAAAATAATCATGGTTATCAATATTTTGTAAAAAAAAAAAATACCCGAAACTGTTAAAAAATAAATGGTGTAGGGATTATTTACAGTTTTAACCCAAAGAATGACCAGTCTGTCAGATGAAGAAGAGCCGGAGTCAGAGATTCAAATAAATAAATGAAGTTTATTGAAGTTTGCAGTTTCATCAGCAGAAGCCAGCTTCAACACTCGCAATGAGTTCCTAGGCCGATCTGCTTACAATCACAAATCAGTAACAATTATACTCTCACATAACGTCATTAACTTCGTCATACATATAGGTGTTCTAACCTGATTGGTTTAAACACAGATAGACTTTCCCACGTCCCACAGATAGACTTTCCCAGAAAATTCCCACGTGGGTGCGTGCGTACAATTCTGAACAATATCTTAAGCATATGAACTTCAGACATCCACTAGACTGTTTCAAGCTGACTCCAGACTTGTGAAACGGATCCACAATCAAATAGAACACACACTTAAAACTACAATCTGTTTTTAGCTGTACAAGCAGTCTTTATCAAAACTGGTTAAAAAACGGTATAATCTACATTCAGGCAAATATAATATCCTTACTACACAAAGTCTATCTTTGAATGAAAAGTAGAATCACTTTAAAAGAATTAACCAGAAAAATAGCAAAATCACTTTAGACATTTTAGATAGTATTAACTTATAGAAATAATAATAGAAACAGTTGTTTCCAGTCCTCAGCCCTTCAGTTCCATTCGAGGTCTCCGTGACCTCTGACCTAGTTTGGTGGCTCCTGAAAATAGTTACAAGGAGACAGGCAAATGCACTGAACATTCTCATATTAAGCAATGTGTTAATATTAAGCTTTTATTCATTATTCAATAATCATCTTTAATAAAAATAATGAGAAAGAGGATGATGAGAAAAGGATAAACTTTGATCCATGCTGAGATGGATTGGTAGGTAGAAATCTAAATGGCATAGGCATTCCACCAAGTGTCTTATATGATAATGACAATGAAAATGATATCTGAAATTTGTTACAAACAACAAATACATGGGTTCCTGCATTTTAGATTTGTTTACTTATGTTTGTGTTAGTTCATGTACATAGTCTGTGTGTTTTATAGGTACGTTTAGATATTTTTATTCAAGTTATTGTTTATCACCTGGGTCACACTTTATTTTGATGGTCTGCTTGTTGAATTTAAGTTAATTTGCTTCTATATGCCAACTAATTCTTATTAGATTATAAGTAGACTGTTAGATTAGGGTTAGGGTTCGGGTTAATGTAAGTTGACATGTACTTGCATGTTTCTTATAGTCAGTATAATGTCTGTTGAAGGAGCGGTATCAGCAGATATTTAGCAGACAGTCTACTCAAATACTCAAATGGACAATCAAAATAAAGTGTTACCAAAACCTGCACTTGGAAAACTTCCTCACAGGAATCCATGTCTAGTGTTGCCAACTATTTTCAATGAGAAGGTGCTTAAAAGTCACTAAATTTCAAATTGCTATACATATTACTGACGTCATCACGTCATCGTTTCTGTTTGTTTAACAGTCTATGGTTAATAAGGGTGTATTTATATTTGCATTATGCTTTATGTTTGCATGTCAATTTAACTAAGTTTATTGCTGTTTGAATACAGTATATCAATATAGATGTGTAGTGAATTTGCTGTAATGTATCAGAAATAATAAACTAACAAATACTAAAATATCTGTGATTTTGAACTAGAAAATAATAAATTAAATTGTTAAATTTAAAACAAAGGAGAAGCAGATCAGTTTGACTGTACAGCCGGCAGCTAGCTCTCTGCAACTCACATGGTCGCCCACCAATAGTGGTGTTAGTGAGACCAGGGGGAGTTCAGCCTGGGTTCTCTGTGGTTCCTAATTCCCCAGTATATTAATAGGGACTCTATAATGCTCAGTGCGCACCGTCTTTCGGATGAGATACTGAACCAAAGCTCTCTGTGGTTGTTAAAGATTGTTATTCAAATCTTATTCAAGGTATTGTTTGTTAAAAACTGCACATGGAAAAACTACCTCACAGGAATCCATGCTTAGTGTTGCCTGCTTTTTTTTAATGAAAGGCGCTAAGGTCTGTCAGAAAAGTTGCAAAATTTTGCTTGATTACATCATACTTTAATTTGCATATTACTGACATCATCACGTCCAAAATATCCCAGCATGTCCTTTGAAAAAAAAACAACCTAAAGTGCTTTGAGTGTCTAGAAATGCGCTATATAAATATAAGGAATTATTATTATTATTGAAAGGGAAATACCTCACACTCACGGTGCTAGATCATTTGCCATTGGTACGCAGAGGGCTGATCAGCTCTCAGGCTGCAGGTAGGAGAGACTAATGTATAAAAATCTCTAGTAACACCAAAAAAGTCTCTAGATTTGTAGCTAGTCGCTTTTTACATTGCAACATTTCTCAATTATATCTGTATTTTCAGTATTTACAGTGAGTTGTCATAATCATGATCAGTGTTGGGCAGTATTGTCGATACAAGTAGCAATGCTACTAGCTTAACTAAATTTCTCAATAGTGTGGCAGCAGCGTTGCTAATTTCTAAATCAAATAGCTTTTCAGTAGCGAAGCTATTTTATTAGTGAAGTAGCGCAGTAGCATCCACACAAGCTATATTTATCGATCACGGATCAATAAGTGACGGCACCGACATTCACGGAGCTGTGAGGCCGGTGTCTCGCCAATGAAAGTAAATGAAAGTAAATCCATTTAATCCATTTAATGACGAGAATGACGATTTCTTCTTCTTCTTCCTGTTTTATGGTGTTCAACAACAAAGTTTTTGCTACGTTACTGCCACCTTTGGTTGGTAATGTCGTCAATCAAAACTTGCTTGATTGAAGGATGACTGAAGGAGAGGAGTTATTTCTGAAGCAGTATTACTCGTGACCGTACCAAGAGAAGTACATGTTATGATGCAATAACTTAATTTCTGATGCTGTGCTCAAAAAAAGCTTTAGTTTAAATATATATAAAATTAAATGCTTATTCCAAAATATTTTCCTTTACTATAAATTACTATAGTATTTTAAATGTGTAACACCTTTTTGGATTTTTTGTTTAGCTATTATATACTATAATTTATTTCTGTTTAGTACAGCATATTGTTTACAGTAAATAACTGAACTGAACCATTATGTGTCATATGTTTCATTGACAGTTTTATTGATCTCTAAGATATGATTGAGTTGGATTTAAGTTGCTTCGATTTAAAAATGAAAATTGGAAAAATAGCTTAGATGTACAGTAGCTAAGCTACTTCTGCCATGTAGCTTTTAGCTTTGCTTGTTACATTTCCCAGGGGCTAGCTTTTAGTGTAGTTAAGCTACATTTTAAGTACAGTAGCTAATAGCTTAGCTCACTACATTTTTCAAGTAGCTTGCCCAACACTGATCACGATAATCAATCACTGTTTTAGGTATGAGAATAATTAGAAATGGTAATACTAACCATCAGAAAATTGATTGCAGTTGACCTTGAAACTGGTAATTGTGAAAACAATAATTGATAGTAAATATTGTCACACTAACAGCTGATTGAGATCCATTTAAACATCTACTGTAGATTAACAGACATTATTTGATCTGACAGTTTATAGCAAAGAATTGGGATCTTGTCCTGTTTTATAATAATTTTCTAAACTGTAGTGAATAAACTGTGATCATGTGAGAAATGTTAAAGGTGTCTAAATAATGTTTGTTTTGACTGCATGGGCTTGTGGTCTGTATTTTTTTATATATGTGCAGCTGTTTGCTGAGGACTTGGACAGTCAGATCAACGGTCGCATCACTTACTCCATTCTGAAAGGGGATCGTGAAAACCAGTTTTGGATCGACCCCGTTACCGGGCTTCTGAAAGTTAACAAGGCCCTGGACAGAGAGACGGTTAGTCCTTGGAATGAGCTTGGTTACTTTGGCTAATGAATCCTGACGTCCCTTCGCTGGGGCTCTTCAAGACCTTCTCCTGAGACACGGCTCGATTTCGGCCAATTATCTTTAAATCAGCCATAAAGTCTTTAATTAGGGAATATGGGGTTGAAATTAAGGCTCTTGAGCGACTGTGGGCGATCGGACAGTCTTGTTCTTTAAAAAAAGACATTTGTCGAGAGTTGAGTCATTCTGAACAGTTTTTGCCTGACATTTATCCTCCTGTCTGGCTTGCTTAAGGTCTCGAGCTACTCATTGTCTGTGCAAGCGTTTGACAGCGGGTCACCTGCCAAGTCAACCACTGTGAATGTCAATATCGAGATTGCCGATGTGAACGACAACCCGCCGCTCTTCTCTCCTGCTAATGCTTCAGCTGTTATTCAGGTGGGAGCCACAGTTTCAGCTCTTCTATATGTTTGTTGCTTGCCTATATACGACTGTTGCTAAGGGTCCCTATTACTGTTGCTTAGGAATTTCTGCAAACCCTGGAAAAATATATAGAATGTTCACAATTTGTTCTGCTGGGCTGTCAGATGCTTGATTCTGATTGGTTGACTGATGTTCTGCAATCATTTTCCAGGAAAGGCACAGCTAAAGTAGTTCCAGGCATTGTGAGCGCATCATAGCTTCAAATGTTTTCAGATTCAAAGGGCTTTTTTATGTCAGTGATAATAACCAAGTGCATAAATATACTAAATTGGCCATATTTTGCTATTTCAAAAGTATCTCTCCTGCTGTGAGAGCTGTAGCTGTTTGTGAATGGAAAATGTCTGTATGATATAGTTCAAAGTGTGTGATAATTATAGTAACTGTTTAAAAAGAAAGATTCTGAACCACTGAATTAGTCATCTGAAGTCTTTCTGTAACCCATATACATTGATCTGTAACATGTTTTTACAATGCAGAATTAATATCTTTGATAACACTTTACTTAAAAGAGGTGTTCATGTGTTCGAGAAAACTTTAAAATAATGATTTGACACATCTTGAATATGAATGAGATTTGTCATTTGCTCGATGAATGTCTTTGTCAAGTTGCCTTTGGTATGACAACCTGACATTTGCCAAGACAACATAAATCTGTCACAAACATGATTGTCATGAGGCCATTATAACTTGAATTTATGTCGTATGTCATAAGGTCATATGTCATAACTATGATGGCACACATTGAATTTGTCTATAAAAAATGTCAATACAGAGCATTAAATATTAATGATGCTGTTATAAAATGATTTGAGATTTTAACTCACCATTATAATGATAAATTCAGTTTGTTCCACTGAAAAATCACAACATAATTATAATTGCCTTGTGTTTATCGTTATGACAAGTTATGTTGTTTTGGTTAGGAATGGGACGATAACCGTTTTCAAGGTATACCGCGGTTTGGAAAAGTCAAGGTTTTAAAACAGCCAAAACCTTCTTTAATACCATTCCTAAGGTATTTGTAAGATTTTTTTATTTACATTTTTTTTTAGTTAACAATATCTCCAGCAAAAACATATCCAAAGATGTCATATTAAATTGTAAAGAAATCTGTTTTTGTAACAAACGAAGACAGCAGAGGTCAATGATTCATTTGAATGATTTAGCCTGACGTGTTTACTGCTCCAAAAATATCTTAAATGTTTCTCAAAATAAAACATATGGGGCCCTATCATACACCCGGGCAATGTGGCACAAGGCGCAACGCAATCGTTGTTTGCTAGTTATAGCTCAACGCAAGAGTAATTTTGACGTTTTGCACCACGCTGTTTAAATAGCAAATGCATTTGCACTCATATGTTTGCCCATAGGCATTCTGGTCTAAAAAAGGAAGCGTGCTGAGGCACATTGCTGGTGTGTTGCTATTTTGAGAAACTAGAATAGACTGTTTAATAGACCAGCTTAGAGGAGGTCTAAAGTCCAGCGCAAAGTGTGTTAGTTGTGTTGACAAATTGCTTTTGTATATTATTAGCAGTATTATTTATTAAATGCATATTTATATTTGTTTTATTAAAAACAAGCTTAGAATTGCCCACCTGTCAGATTTTAGACCATATTGGGCACAGCATGTGTATTTGGAAATAACTTTATTAGTTTGCTGGAAATTAAAACTGAATTTAGAAATAGTTTTGAAAGAAATCTTTCTCGCGCTGTAGATGCTCTGTTTAACTGTTTTCTCACTAGTAAAGCACTCAGTTTTTACACTTAAAAAGTCCGCCATGTAAAGAGCAAATGCGCTATGGTGCAACGTGTAATAACGTTTACGGCCCTTTGGCCGCCGGGAAGAAGGAGGCGGAGAACCAACGTAGTTTTAAAATATTTAATTATAACATGAACAAACAAACGGACGGCAGCTCCTCATGGGGGCTGGTTTGGCGCCACAGCACCCGCGAGACCTATATGAGACAGGCTGAGAGAAAAGGAGAAAGGACAGAGTAGACCAAGAAAGGGGAGAGAGGAAAAAGGAAAGAAAAAAATTGGAGTTCGGTTTTCCAGACACGCTGCCACTCGGTCCTCCACCAGCTGAGAGATGCGACGACGTGTTGAGAGCCCTGTGGAGGAATCTATCCACCCGTCCATCTTCTGGTGTCCGGTGGCGGTTCTCCTGGCTGGCTGGCGGCATCTCTGGTCTCCTGCTCCGCTCCCGCTTCGGTGCACGGATGCAGGCTACGGCATCATCTATGGGATGGCTCCCTTCAGCACTTTCCCTTCCGGTGGTGAGCCCATGCTGGGAGACGGCAGCAGGCAGATCCTTTCCTCGCCAGCCTCAGGCCGCCCCGGCACTCTGGGGAGACGAGCAGGTTTCTCCCCCACTCGAGTTAACTCCCGAACACTCACCCCCCTCTCAGCGGCGAGGGCAACTGGACAACATGTCCCTCCTTCTCCCGGTTTTCAGCACCACTGTAATGAAGTTTACGGCCCTTTGGCCGCCGGGAAGATGGAGGTGGAGAACCAACGCAGTTTTAAAATATTTATTTATAACATGAACGGCAGCTCCTCACGGAGACTGCCGTCTAAACCAAAACAAACTGAAAGCAAAAGTAAAATATGTCGGGGCCCAGTCCTCTCTCGGCTTCCTCTGCCATCGTTCCTCCTTTTATAGTCCAGAGCTCCTTCCGTGGGATTCGAGGCTGGTGCGCACCGCAGGTGCATCCACTTACGCAGCGGCCTCATTCCGTTCCCACGGCTCTCGGCCACGTCTCCTCGCCACACAACGCTACTGACTCTTAAAGGAAATGGAAGTTAAGACCCTGATTGGTTTATTCTCAAAACACACCTATAACTCAATAAGAGAATATGCACAACCCTGTTAGAACACACGCCAAGGCGCAAGCAGATTTTTCGTCCTTAAAATAGTAAAAGTGGATTCAGACACGCCCTTACTGCTTTAGCGTCCTGCACTATGGACTTTGCGCATGGATCATCACAATAAAGCCCATTGTGTTCAATGAGGTAAAAAGTAGTTTTTTTGTCAAGATGTATTGACAAAAACAAGTTTTAATGTATTTGGTTATGTCAAGATGGCAAATACATCTCAGGAAAAAAATGCAGAAAAGCATGCACATCATTCTAAAATGGGTGCTCAGCCCAACAAGTATACAAAAGTATTCATTAAGGCGGCAACACCAAAGATGTGAATTTATTAACTTAAAAAAGGCTATCACAAAGTGCTAAAGTTAAAAAACTCATATTTTTGGAGATTTGATGTTGCTAACTTTACCTAAATTTCAAAAACATCTCAAACAATGTCATTATTTTATTTGAAAATAAAACAACAGTTTTCATAAACATGCATAAAATCTCCTTTATATGTGTCATATAATGATTACAAAGGTGTCATGACAGTCCTGTGAACACCCTTCAAAAGAGTTAAAAGGATTAACAAATCTTTTCTTACCAGTGAAGTAAGGGAGATGTATTTTGCAATAAATCTTATGAACGACACCTTAAAATCATGTAAACACAGTATGTAACAATTCACATAGGTTACCTTGTTTCATACACCAATTTTTTAACACAATGGTTGAATTATATGCTTCTTTAGTAAAAAGTATTTGTAATGTATTGCTCTAAACATTAACTTGCTACAAGGTTCTACCAACATAAAATCACTCCAAGTAATTTAAGAACAAATACATAAATATTGAGACGCATCGTTAAAAGGGAGAGAAATACAGATGCAGAGTTGCCCAACTTGTACATATAAAATTTCAGCACGTAACTCATCTCCCTATGAAAATGAATCGTACGGCTTGTTGAAGAGAGATGTGCAGTGACTTATGATCCACCGCAGCCAGACGATAAAAAATCGAAAGGATACCCTAGACTTATGTTGAAGAGATTTATCTATGAGGAGTCTGTGGACTAGAATAAGTCTAGGAAGCAGCCAGATATCAATTACCCTGAAAAATTTTGACCAACACCAGGAAAATCATGAACAGCACTCTAATATTTTAGTGCATAATATGAAAATAATAATCAAGTGATTGAATTAGTGATACATTTTAAAATCAGTAACTTATTCATGTGTTTGTGTGTTTTTTAAGTTGAACAAGCCTGCAGGAAGAACCATCCTCACACTGTCAGTTTCTGATAAGGATTCAACTAGAAATGGTGGACCTTTTGAGTTTCGCCTGGTGTCTGGAAATGAGGGCAATGCCTTTAGTTTGGACCAGAATGGAGAGTTACGGACAAGCCAAGCGTTTGGCCCGGATGCAACTCGAGAATATACACTTGAGATTCAGGTTAGTGCAACTCCAGAAAACTGCTTTGAAAAGTCAAGTGTCTGTCAAAAGGAAAGCCTGAGTCTTATGTGAGTGTTTCTTCTACTTTGAGCACTTCTGACCTATTTAAACAAAGTTTTCTGGAGTGAAATGCCAGTCAAGTTATTTATTAATAAAAAATTATATAATTTAACATTTTCAAAATTAAACATTTCATTGCGGTTATTTCAGTTCATTATGCAAATAAACAGAACAAATAAAAGTATACACTGCATATGTGGAACTTAATTTGAAATCTAAGTTCTTTATTTTGACAAATTTATATTAAAGCAGAAAACATAACGTTTATCTTTTAGTCTCTTATTATGCATTGATAAACCCACATTAGACAATATTTTAAATACACCCCATTCAATAATTGCAAAAAAAAATTGTTAATATCAAAATTATTAGGTTTCCTGTAAAATTGTAAAACGGTATTGAAGTATTTACGACATGATTTTTAACAGAGAGACGGTTATTTTTCAACATAGTACATAATAGTTGTATTAATATTTTTTTGTCTTTGCCATGGCTGCGATGAGAGTATAACTAGGCAAGACAGGGGACAATAGTGGTTTTCTCTGTAGCCAATAAATCAAACGTATTTAAAAGGGGACTAATAATGTTTACCTTATGATGATGATGATAATAATAATAATAATAATAATAATAATAATAATAATAATAATAATAATAATAATAATAATAATAATAATAATAATAATTTCCTACATTTATTATTTTCTGGACACTCAAAGCGCTTTACTCATTTTTGGGGATGTTCAGCATCCACTTGGATGACGCGACAGCAGCCATATTGTGCCAGACCGCATACCACACACCAGCTGATTAAACACAGAGTGACGAAGCCAGTGATGGTAGGGAGATGGTTAGGAAGCCATGATGGGCAGAAGCCAGTTAGCAAATTTGACCCTACTCTTTTCCGAAGGACATGCTGGGATTTTTAACAACCACAGAGGGTCAGGACCTCGGTTTAACGTCTCATCTGAAAGACGGCGCTCACTGAGCAGTATAGACTCCCCTTCACTAAACTGGGGCGTTAGGACCTATGTAGTCTCCTATCGAGGTACTGACCGGGCACATTCCTGCTTAGCTTCAGTGGGCGACCATGTAAGAGTTGCAAAGAGCTAGGTGCCTTATCAGTTTTTAAATATTTTATATATATTTATATTCTCGAACTAAAAGAAATAAGAATATCCTCAGAAGAAATTAGGTAAACTTCGTTGGAGCCGCACAATTATCGTTTCAGCATCAATGTGTGCATTCACAATAGTCACATTTCAAGAAATGCAATGTTGAGTCTGAACTATAGTTGACCAGGAGCTACAGAACACGTGATTTTTGGAGTCACTTCTAAGTTTTACCATAACAGAATGAAGGTTTCCCATTTGTATGAATTCTAAGGTCTGTCTGTGACAGAGCATTTTAAGAGATTTTAGAACATTTGTGCACAAAAATTGATGGCTGTATTTAACTATTTATACCGCATTTATGCAAAAAAATACTTTTTTCTTATTTTCATTTTTGTTTTGTTTCTAGTCCACATATTCACATTTTAAAGCGAAAACTAGATTCTTTTACATATCCTATTGGCAGAAAATGTTGCTTATTTTAAGGGAAACTCTTAATTTGTAATTATTTCTTCTGAAAGTGAAAACAAAACAATATTTTAACTTGATCTAACAATTCTTTTGATATTTGGACCAGAAATGTCTGTACTTAAACACTGTTAGACACCCCAGAAATCCATCAAATAGGGCTATTCATATATATATATATATATATATATATATATATATATATATATATATATATATATATATATATATATATATATATATATATATATATATATATATATATATATATATATATATACACATAGTTACATACATACAAACATGTGTACTTTTCATTGCGTCTTTTTAAATATTTTCTAAATGATGTTTAACAGAGCAAGGAAATTTTCATAGTATGTCTGATAATGTTTTTTTTTCTGAGCTAAAATAAACAAAAAAAAAAAATTTATTTCTAAGCTTGAATAAAAGCAGTTTTTAATTTTAGGAACCATTTTATGGTCAATATTATTAGCCCCTTTAAGCTGTTTTTAATCTACAGAACAAACCACTGATATACAATAACTTGCCTAATTACCCTAACCTGCCTAGTTAATCTAATTAACCTAGTTAAGCCTTTAAATGTCACTTTAAGCTGTATAGAAACGTCTAGAAAAATATCTAGTAAAATATTAATTAATGTAATTATGGCAAGATAAAATAAATCAGTTTTTAAAAATGAGTTATTAAAACTATTATGTTTAGGCATTAAAAAAATCTTCTCTAAGTAAAACAGAAATTGGGGAAATATAAACAGGGAGCAAATAATTGAAGGGGGTTAACAATTCCGACTTTTACTATATATATATATATATATATATATATATATATATATATATATATATATATATATATATATATATATATAAATGTTAATCTATGAATAAATGCTAAATAATTTACAAGTAAAACAATTTAAATCTATACATAATAGTACATAACAGGAGAAGATTAATAAATAAATGAAGTCATTCACAAAAAAAAAAAAAGCAGTGCTTGGTCAGTTATAATGTGACCTTCATATAACAGAAAGAATAAGTGGAAATCAGATTTTCTTTAAATAAAAATTTCCCTCTGGAGCATAAAAGTAGAAGAAATGGCCGTGTACTGTAGCTGCAGTGACATTTCTAAAGGAATTGAATTCATTACTGTAGTTTGATGAAGCTTTCATGTGTGGCAGTTGTACAGTGTATGTTTGTTCTTGTCAACAAGGCGCGTGACTCCGGCAAGCCTCGTCTGTCCTCCACATCCTTTGTGTTCGTGCGTGTCATTGGAGACAGCCTCTTCAAACCTGTGGCCTTCCCACTGGAAATCAGCATTGTCATGGCCGCAGATGTGTTTCCTGGCGGGATTATAGGCAAGGTCTATGCCACAGACCGAGACGACAATGATGTTCTGTCTTTCAGCCAGAGACCACAATCAAAGAGCCTTTTTAAAATCAACAGACAGGACGGGAAGATTGTGGCACTAAATGGTCTGGAGCCTGGAAGGTAAAGTACATGCGAACTTAATTTGACCATTTTCTTTAAAGGGGACCATTTATGTCACTTTTTACAAGATGTAAAATAAGTCTCTAATGTCCCTTTGTGTATGTTTCAGCTAAGAATACCCCATAAATAACGTTTTGAAACTGCCCCTTATAGGCTTTGGTCAAAATTGTGCCATTTTGGTGACTATCGCTTTGAATTCAAATGAGATTGTGCTCCAAACCCTAATCTTAAAAAAAAGGGCGGAGCTAAAATGCTTGTGCATTAGTATAGCTGCAAATTTATTACAGATGTTTCACACTGAGGACTGTCCATGCCAATGAGGGAGAGATTGTCTCCTATTTCCCCCTCTAATGACATGTACAACAGGAGAATATCAGTCAAAGTGTTAGACTACAGACTATATTTTATTTATTTAGATTATAAAAACAGACTTAATTCATTTTTTACCATTAGAGGCTGGCTGAATTCACACACTTTTGCCACACAACTATTTAAACACCTTATAATAGTGATTTTGCCATAACAGGAATTCTTCAAGTTTCTCTTTTTAAACATACAGTATGGGTTCCTTTTCTCGATTCTTTTCTGGATTCTGGATCATTGCAGATGCCAATAATTTAAAATGATCGCCATTCACAAAGATCTACAAAAAGGATCAAAAGAACTGTAAAATGCATGCCAGGCCAAAAGTTGGTGATGTCATTTTGTAAAAAAAAACATCATAAATGCCTGCACATGTACTGTTTGGTCTTCTAACCTGCCATTGTTGTTTCGGTTGTCATGTTGTTTGTTTGACTACTGTAAAGACAAGTGCATGACATCACTGCTCTAAAGGGGACCTTTTACGCCCATGTTTACAAGATCTAAATTAAGTCTCCAATGTCCTTAGAGTGGGGTGACGCAGTGGTGCAGTAGGTTGTGCTGTAGCCTCACAGCAAGAAGTTCGCTGGTTCGAGCCTCAGCTGGGTCAGTTGGCATTTCTGTGTGGACTTTGCATGTTCTCCCCGCGTTCCCGTGTGCTTCGGTTTTCCCCACAGTCCATAAGTTGGCGGTTCATTCCACTGTGGCGACCTCACAGATTAAAAAAGGCTGGAAAAAATAAATGAATAAATGAATGAATGTTTTTAGAGTGTGTATGTGAAGTTTCACATCAAAATACCCCACAATTTTTTTCATAACTCTTTGAAACAGCCTTTTTTAGGCTTTGATCCAAATTGTTCCTTTTTTGTGCTCCCAGCCTATGCTGCAGCTATAAATGTCTTAGTGTACAATGTTATATATATATATATATATTATCTGTGAGAATACTATTTACTAGTATTAACATGCCCAACACTGATAATCACACCATAAAAACAGTCTGCAGAAACACTTTGATTGCCATTCTCCCTTTGTACATGTCATTTTAAATCTAGTTTTTATTGCAATTGTACTAAATATTTAGCAGATTTGCAAATAAATGGAAATGCTAATATTTTCTTAAAGGGATAGTTCACCTAATTTAGTTTTTTTTCTGGTAAACATAACATTAATATATTTTGAAAAATTTTGGAAACCGGTAGCCATTGACCTCCCCAGAATTTTTTTGCCTACTGTGCATGTTAATGGCTACAGGTGTCCAGCATTCTTCAAAATATGTTCTTTTGTGCAACAGAAAAACAAAACTTCTAAAGATTTGGAACAACTTGTGAAAACAACATGCTGAGTAAAATTGTTAGAACATTGTCATTCTTGTGGTGTGTTTACACCAAATGCAGATGAATGGTCAAGTGATTTACATGTTAAGTCAATGCAGAGACGTGAATAGACATCCTGTGGCGCTATTCGTGTGAATGAGGCTGTGCGAATGAAGTGGCATAAATTAAGAGTTTTGCATGTTTGGCGCTCTTTGCTCATTGGAAAATCTAAAAACTTTACTGGACATCCATGCCACGTTGACCAATCAGGAGCTTGCTGTAATATGGGTGTGATTATGTTGTTGGTGTCCTGAGAGTAAACCCTCCTGCCAACATAGGTAAACAGCTCATCAAACTGGGCTCAGCTCAGTCTGGAGTAATGCAGAAAAAAAATTCATCATCCAGGTAAAGTTTCTGGAGGAGTTGATGAACTCAAAGAGCTGGGTGCACCTCAGAAAGGATCTAGTTGACTCTAGAATAATCTACACTGTTTTTCAGTCTTGCTAAATCACATAAAGCATACTGTAGCTACTCTCTCAATAAAAACCATGTTAGCCATTTAACAGCGAAATTAGAAGCCCTGCCCATGACGCCAGTCCATGTCTATTGTGAAGTGAATTTCATGCGCGGATGAAGCGGTTAAACTCAAAATGTTCATGTGTCTATTTAGGCACATGCCACATCTGGTAAATATTAACTTTGTCACAAGAATGCATTTTGACAGATATGTGTTGTCACACTTTATTATTTTGTTTTAGATACTCTCTTAACGCTACGGTCAGTGATGGGCGTTTTTCAGTGACTGTTGGCGTCAGTATCCTGGTGGAGCAGGCCACAGATGAGATGGTGCAGAATGCTGTGACTCTGCGTTTCCAGGACTTGTCGCCTGAGGATTTTGTGGGTGTTTACATGACGGACATGAAGAAGGTTCTCCGTAGCTCACTGATCAGTGATGGGACAGATGTTCTGGATGGGCCAGACCCTCTCCACATCCTGGGTGTCCAGCCACTGAGCCGCACCAATCAGCTGGAGGTGCTTCTTGCCGTGGAGACACCAGATGGAGGATTTGTTGGCCCAGGAGAACTGGCTCTCAAGCTGGAGGAGGCAAAGGGTCTGCTGAAGGGAGCGTTGCGAGTGGTCAGTGTCCTGGATCAGAGCTGCTCAGGGGAGCTGGAATGCGGAGAGAGAGCCTGCGAGCTCAGTCTCAGTCTCGACTCCATTGGTTTGGTCACTTACACCACTTCCAGAGTCAGCTTTGTGTCACCACGCTTCAGCAGGAAAGAGATGTGCACATGCCCGGGTGGGTACTCAGTTCTTGTCTCAAATGAGAAAACTAATTTGGATGTTTAGTCTAGGATGTGTTCGTAAATATCTTCTTATTTGCCAGTTCCGGATGAATTGTGTGTTTATTCTAGGATGTATTCATTTAAAACTAATTCAAATGTTTGATTAAAGATGCATTTCATAGAGTGTGTTTGCTTACTAATTCAAAGTACTGTAAGTGAAATATGTAGTCAAGGCTGCATTTCATAAAATGCATTAAAGGAATAGTTCACCCCCCCAAAAAACTGCTCATAATTTGCTCTCTCTTAGTGTGGTTTTAAATCTTTATGAGTTTCTTTCTTCTGTTGAACAAAAAAGAAGATATTTTGAAGAATGTTGGTTGCTGCAACCCATCAACATCCATAACAGGACAATAAATACAATGTTGAAGTCAATGGGAGCAATCAGCATACTTCAAAATAGCTTCTGTTTTGTTTAACAGAAGGAAGAAACTCAAATGGGTTTTGCACATATAAAGGGGGAGTAAATGATGGCAGAATCGAAATTTTTGCGTAAAATATCCCTTTAAGGAATGAATAAATCAAATGTTTTCTAAGGATGCATATTATAGAATGCAATAAATAATTTAAAACAAATTAAAATGCTTTGTCCAGGCTAAATTTCACAGTTTTCATTACTCTATTAAATCAAAACTACTTCAAATGTTTTGTCTAGGATGCATTATTCATTCATTAATTAAAATTACTATATATGTTTTGTTCTTGAGTGTGTTTTAACATTAATGTTTTTACAAGGTATGCATTCATTCAAATTTGAACTAAGATGTATTATATAGTTTGTTCGCATTTACTAATTCAGAACAATACAAACTGTTTCTCTAAGGGGCGTTTTAGTAATCCAGAACTAATATGCGTTTTGTCTAGGGTGGATTTCATACTCTTATGCTTGAATTCCTTCTTCAAAACAAATTCTGATTTTTTGACTTGGATGCATTTCATAGCATGCATTATTTATCCTGCTTGATTTATTTTAATCAGCAAGTTTGACTGACAGTTTCCAGTTGCTTGCTCTTTACATATTTAACTCAAGTCCATCCTCTCAGTATCTGCAATAGGAAAATAGTTTTACTTAATAAATATCATCAAAATTTAATAAAATATTTATGGCCAAAAAAGTTACTCATTAAAATAAAGATTTTCTGAAATGTTAATTAGGAATTTAAGCATTTCAAAAAACAAAGCGTACATGAAAAATTGTATCTATAAATCAAAATTGTTCAAAGGTAAATGTTCTGCTTCCATCTTCCAGTGGTATAAATCTAATTCAAATGCTTTGTCTAGGATGCATTTCATAGTGTGAATAATTTATCCTGCTTGATTAAATTCAAACAGGAGCTTGAGTGACAATTTACATTCGCTTTGCTGTCTAACTTTTTGTGCATATTGAATGCAGGAGGAATATGTCCGTCTTCTCTCGAGCTCTGTGATGGGCAAACATGTCCGTCAGACATGCAGTGTGTGCGCAGCGGCCCCACAGCGCCCTCTCTCTGCCAATGTCTGCCAGACAAGCTGGACAAGTGCGCAGGTTTGATGCAAACAAGCCTTTCCCATTTTTTATATTAACCAAAGCTAAAGGTTTTATTTTATTCTGGGTAAACAAGTGTTTTATATTTTACAAAGTGGGCCACAGTTGAAATGGAGGAACACCATTGGTCTCATAAAAAAGGCACATAAGTGTTAGACAACTTCTTTATTACTATATCAATTAAAATAAATATTACTGGAAAGTGATTTTATGAATAATTTTCATATTAAAGCATGAACAATCATTTAAAAGCATATGTTTAAAGAAATTCCTAAACACTAATTATTAAGTTCTATAATACAAAACAACTGGTAAAACAAAACTATAGGTATTGTAAACTAAACATTTAAAGCATTTTAATAAACATTTGGTAAGCATTTTTTAAAACATACATTTTCATTATTGATCCCCGCACCTTTTGGCGTTTGCTTTACACTACGCATGTGAGCTGGCAAAAGTGTATCTGCAGGTATTAAAAACCAGAGGTATATTTTGGTTTCCCATGGTACAAATCATGTCCTTAAAGGTACAAACTGCAAAGATACAAATTTGTTCCTTTGTCTTAAAGGGCACCTATGGTGAAAAATCTACTTTTAAAGCTGTTTGGTCAGATGTGTGTAGGTATAGTGAATAGACCGTCATATTGGGGTGATAAAAACACACCCAGTCCTTTTTTTTTCAATTTAACAACATAAAAATGGTGGACCAATTGGAGCGGTTTTCAGAGCGAACACAACTTGAAGTAGGAATGTGCTTCCCCTGGCCACCAATATTGATTGACAGGCGCATCACCATCCTCAGCGTGTGAGTCAAATCGATGTCACTAAAGGAACACCCTTGCTCTATTTTTTGATATAAGGCTCATTGGGCTCAACACAAGACCAATATTCTCCACATGACTGCTCTATCAGAATTATTGTTTGTACCGTTTGGGTGGGTTTGCAAACGTGTACTTTTCATTGTGTCTACCTTTAACTTCAGCTGTTTGCATTTCTGGTGTTCACAGAAGCTCCCTGTGATCTTAAATAGGTGCCAGGCACGTGCACACATAGGGCTCAACCTGTGCAGTGCACATGCCCTGCATGATAGAAAGTGCCCTTCTATAATGATCAGAAGTGCCCCCCCCAGTCTTCAGTTCTCGTGCGACATAGCACCCCCCCGCTCTTGACATATGCCCCTCCCCCCCGCTCTTTAGTTCACCCGCGCCTCCCCCCCTCTTATGTTTGCGCGCAACCCCCGCTCTTTCATATATTTTTATTCTGCCCTTGGAAGGTCTCTGCACGGCCCCGCTAGGTGCAGCTGTAAAGTGCGAGCGCGTTGCCTCATGTGCGCGTCTCTCCATTGGAAATAAAACAACAAACTTGCCTGCAGGTCGCCCACCAGAAGGACTGCTCGGCGACGTGCAGTGCCATGCATTTTAGAATTCTAGGTTTCTATCAGGGTACACACAACGGCACTTCAAGTTGGCGGCTGTCCGCGGTGCGTGCCCAGCCTTGATTCAGGACGCTTCATGTTTCTGCCGAGCCACAGAGCACCATCTGAATAGTTTCCTTTTAAATAACATGCGAATGTGTGTGTCTGAGTGTGCCGTGTCACAGCTCTGGTGCCACAGTCAAAGTTAATTCAGTGTGCTTGGTTATTAGTCTCAGTGTACAAGCTCGGCACTTTAAACTAGCACACAAGTTGCTGTAAAACTATACAAAGACACAAATTATTTTGTAGTCTCTGCTTGGTCTGTGTCCGAGTCGTACATGTCGGGCTGAATGCTGGTCCTCTCATTCATGTTGCTTCTCTCTGTCTGCCTGTCTGTTGCAAACATAGAGCAGGGGAGTTCTTGGCTCCGCCCCCTTGTTACATTGGGCGCGAAGTTGAAACTAATTTTCATGTGAAGCAACACACCCCTAAAACAGCGAGCTGTGTACACATCCCCAAAATGACACTTTTTAACACATTATAATAAAAAATCTGAACTGTGTTATGAACTGAACCTAAACTGGCACACTCAGAAGAACCATAATATTAATATTAAATCATAAAAAAGGGGGTAAACTATGTGCCCTTTAAGGTACAATTCTATTCCATAAGTGACAGGGTTTTGTTACCTTCTTAAGTACATTTTTTTTTTTTTTTTGAGATTGAACAGTTCAATCGCACAATTGTGAAAATAAAAGGAAATAGCTATTTTACAATGTACCTTGAAAGAACACTCCACTTTTTTGTAGAAACTTACGTCACAAAGTCTGGGTCAGGCTGGAGCACTTTTAGCTTAGCATAAATCATTGAAACAGATTAGACCAATAGCATCTCGCTCAATATATTTTTTAAAAAAGAGCTTCAAAAACTTTACTATTTACAGCTTGACGATTCTGTAGTTACATTGTGGAGTGGAAAAAAGGTAGTGTCCTTTAAAAACTTGTTGTTTGGAATAAATAAAAACCAATGATAATTCGAAAATGTCACTTTGGGATAAATAAAGAAAGAATACTTTTTTTGAATGCTTGCTGGATGTCCTTTTTCTGTCATCAAAAATCATCAAAAAACATTTCCAAATACTATATTTACAAGTAAACCGTATATTTGAAGTCTAAAAACAAAATTGTCACCTAAAAAACCAATAAGGATACATTGTATAAAATAGAAACAGCAGTATTATTTATCAGATGACTGAGTTTAGACCTCTGCTATTTGACACCTGCTGTGAAGTCATTTAAATGATGAAATTGGTACCATAGCGACAATGCTAGAAAATTACATGGCTTGAAAGAACTCTCAGCCAATCACATGTGAGGACCAGAAAGAAATTGCATATACAATATCATATACCACAGGGGTATGTTTGTTGTTTATAATCCTCCAAGTAGCTCCAAGTAAGAATGTCATTTTATATACAAAGCAAATTTTGTATCTGAATGCATTTCTTTTAGCCTTTGAAATGTCTGACAAACATGCATTTCAAACCCTGTGTTCCTCTTGTGAAATGTCCTCAGGGTGTGTCAGACTTGTATTTAAATGACATTTCACTGTAGGTGGTTGAGGCCAAACACTTCTACAAATATCTTTTTGTGAGAGTGTGTGTAAATAGCAGAATTTTAAATATAATGCTGGTGTGTTTGACTGACTGCTTTTTGTGCTGTAGGTCAAACATCTTTGAGCTTTGCGGGGAACAGTTACATCAAATACAGAGTGACGGACAGTGATAAGAGCAGAGACATGAAGCTGGGCTTGAAAATCCGAACTCTGCAGAGCCAGGGTGTCATCATGTACACACGCGCAGACCCCTGCACGTTGCTCAAGGTAACTTGTCGATATAGACACACATTTTAATAATTTATGGAATTTGAAATATCTAGTTTTAGTAAGTAATTGCTGATGGGTAGGCCCACACAGAATCTGTGCACACAGAAATACACAGATTTCCACGTATTTTCAGCCCATCATCGAGTCTATTTTTTTACTTGTGTGAATGTGTGTATATTTAAATTGATTCATTTTTTTAATGAATTTTTGTCATAAAATCGACTAATATGAAAGTGTTCATTTTATTTATTTGCAATACAGTTTGTAAGTAATATTTTCTGTCTTTTAGTAGATGAATTATATGAGAGATTTGCTTTGTTTACCAAATAAATGCATAGATTTGCTTTGTAAATGTTAAATAAAAGTTAAAGCAATTATTTTTTTTATTTCATGTATTATTTAAAATGTAGTTATTATTTACAAAACTCCCAAAATAATTCCACATAAATGTGCAGATTTATTACCAAATTCTCAGCAGAAGAAGCAAAAAATGTCAGCAGATTCTGTTTGGCCCTAGTGATGGGGAGTCGACTCTAAACGAGTCAAATTGGTTATTGATTTTGTGTTGGAAATCACTCACTTGTTCACTACACCGCACTACAATAGACTTGCCTTGTTTCTAGGTTAAATATCTAAAACATCTCAAATAAAGAAGCATTCACTAGACCAGTGTTTCCCAACCCTGTTCTTGGAGGCACACCAACAGTACATATTTTGGATGTCTGCCTTTTCTGATTCATTTCAGGTTTTGGGAAACACTAATCTAGACAAGCAAAACATATTGTCTTGTTTTAAGAAATAAGATGGCATTGAGGTTAGCAAAATAAAAATAAAAAACTAAACAAAATCATTGGTTGTTTTTCATGTTGACATACTGTAAGATTTTTTTGATTACTTGATTGGCAGATTATTTAACTTTTTTTAAGGAAAAAACTCCCTTCATTTTGACATTATTTCTTAAAACAAGATAAAAAATTTTGTTTGTATAGAAAATGCTTCTTGATTTAAGAATTTTTAGATATTTTGACTAGAAAAAGACAAAAAATCTAAGTAAGAAAAGCATTTTATTTGCAGTGTATGACCAGTGTTTCCCAACCCTGTTCCTGTAGTCACACCAACAGTTGATATTTTGGATGTCTCCTTTATCTGATCCATTCATTTCAGGTTTTGGAGTCTCTTCTAATGTTGTAATGAGTTGATTTAGGTGTGTTTTAGTAGGGAGAGGTTGAAAATGTGAAAGTGTGTTGGTATGCCTTTAGGAACAGGGTTGGGAAACACTGATCTAGACAAGCAAAAAATATTGTCTTGTTTTAAGAAATATGCCATTGAGGTTAGCAAAATAAAAATAAAAAACAAAATCATTGGTTTGTTTTTCTTTTTGACATTAGATTATTTTGGTTACCCGATTGGCAGATTATTTAGCTTGTTTTAAGGAAAAATTCCTTTTATTTTGACATATTATTTCTTAAAACAAGACAATATTTTTGTTTGTCTAGAAAATACTTCCTAATTTAAGAATTTTTAGATAGTTTGACTAGAAATAAGACAATTAAATTGAAGTAAGAAAAGCATTTTTTGCAGTGCAAGTAGTACATGGCGTTTGGATGCCACACCGGCTGCATTTTAAATAAATTGCTAAGCAAAGCAAACAGATTCTGACTGCAGTGTTTGAATCTGGTCAAATACTTTGAAAAAGCAACTTTGACCTTGTTTGTACCCTTATAGAAAACAAAATGATTAGAATTCTAGTAGTGGAGCCGCATGACACTTCCGGTGTCTGGTCTCCAATGTGCATAGATATGGATATTGGTTCTTAAAGGGCAAAACTTGGGATCTCAAATAGAGTAATTTTGCAGTCCTGTGGCTGAGTAGAAAGTCTTTCACAACCCTTTGTTACCTTGTGGTTGGGGATCACTGTTCTTTGGCATTCTGAATACTCATCAAGTTAGACAGGTGGAGATAATTATTGGTCATAATTACGTTTTACTGTTGAGAAGTACAGTTAATCTTAATTTGCACATTGTAACTGTCATTCACCTATTCAGATGAGGGACTTCTCAGATCTCAGATCATGAGTTCTCTTTGTGCTTTGAGGTTCAATGTTTAAATAATAAAAACCGAATGAATTTAGTTTGAGCAGAAGTAATGACATAGAGATTCACCGACTGACATGCAGCACACGTCACTTTCATTTTCATATGAAAGCATCCCTAACTTTAGTGCTCACTGATGGGACATTGACTTATGAAGAGCCTTGTTTCAGTGCATGGATATACATTCAAACACAGAGACAGTTTAGAGAGTTATTAAAGGAATGGGGAAAATGCTAAATACACATTTTTTTATTTAAATGCAAACCGGAAAACACAATTTCCATATGCATATCGAACCATAGAGATTGTACTGAAAGATTCAATATTATATGGAGTTTTGGGTCTCTCTAAAGTCTCTTATTTTTCTTGTAAAGTGATTAAGTTCGACTCCGAGACTGATATTTGGTGTTATATAACTAAATGTTGAGCCCCCATTATCATCACATAAAATGTTACCATGAAAACGCAGGGCAAATATCTATCACCTATCTATCACCTATCTATCACCTATCTATATAGCTGTTCTTACAGCATGAACTTCTTATTTTTGCTGTTAATATAAATGCAAATATACATCCTGAATTAAACCGCCCTGAATTATACTTTTAATCATTTGTTCAAAATTTCCTGCCATGTAGCTTGGTCACACTTTATTTTGTTGGTCAGTTTGTTAAATTTTAATTGCATCTACATGCAAACTAATTCTCATTAGATTATAAGTAGACTGTTGGGATTAGGGTTAGTATAAATTGACATGTACATACAAAGTTTCTTATAGTAAGTTAATGTCTGTTGAAGAAGCAGTATCAACAGATATTAAGCAGTCTACTAACACCCAAATTGACCATCAAAATAAAGTGTTACCTGTAGCTTATAATTAAATTTTTCATTTGTAGCACACTTGTGTGTCCCATTTTTTAAACCATGAGGACATTTGTGTATTTCGGTTACATAACCATAGAACTGATGCCCTAAAATGACATTTTCATATACCATTTCATATACTAACAATCATGTATAAGAGCCTTGGAAAGGGAATTATTTAACGACTTTAACTAGAAAAGTCTTCCAAATGGCGTTCACTTCATATAATGTTTAAAAGATACTCTTTTGACATTCACCCAATGTGTTTCCTATAGTAAGTGCTGTATTACTTTAATATAGGGAACAATTCTCACTATTAACTACTAGCTTAAAAACTTGCTTATTAATAACATATTGTCTGTTTATTAGTACTTATTAAATACATACATATCCTGCATGATCCTATTCTACACCCCTAATCCCACCTGCCAAATATTAGAAGATTATTGAGGCAAAATGTTTAGTTTTCTTAATAGTAAGAATTGCACCCTAAAATGAAGTTTGACTAAGTGTTTGTGTGTTCATTCAGATTGAGGAAGGGCGCCTGTGGTTCCAGATGGACTGCGACAACAGACTGGACATCCTGGGCATCTCTGGTCGTCCAATCAATGACGGGTCGTGGCACAGTGTGACCCTGGAGCTGACCAGCAACTATACTCTTCTTTCTCTGGACGACAGCTATGTGGAGCGCCGGCGCTCTGCACGAGCCCCTGTTCGCATCTGGCCCTTGGCTGCAGACGCATCGCTCTTCTTTGGGGCTCAGGTGTTGCATGGACCAGTGGGTGGAGGCGGTCAGAGGCCCCCACGGGTGCAAGAAGGCTTTCAGGGGTGCCTTGGGTCCCTTATGCTCAATGGAAATGAACTCCCTTTACAAAATAAAAGGAGCCGCTATGCAGAGGTAGCTGGACTGAGTGACGTCAAGCTCGGATGTGTTTTATATCCTGATCCCTGCCTCGGAGGACCATGTCAGAATGGAGCTGCTTGTGCAAAGATGCCCTCTGGTGGTGAGAAATAGAAAGTGCATAAAACTGAGTGTGTTAGTGTGCACATTCTTAAAGGTAGAGTTCATCATAAGATGAAAATGTTCTTTTAATTTACTTCCAGATCATTCAAGATAAAGATGACTTAAAAACAAAAAAAAACCTAAACTGCTGAATCTGTGGTCTTTGGTGATTCTTAAATTAGAAGGAAGCTATTTTTAAGATAAAAAAATGAAGAAAAAACAAAACACACAGATCTTATAAAGTGAAGTGATTGATCTATGCAAGAAAATTAAAATTACTTCAAATAATATTTACGGTGGCCGAGAGGTTTTTCGGTGGCCGAACACATTTTTAAAAAACATGCTGCATTTTTTCACAACACAAACATTTTATGAAAACTCGCTGCGTTTTCTTACAAGACAACGGAAACAATTCAAGGAGACCCTAAAACGTGACAGAACTGACTATTTAGGGTAAGGTTATTTACACAACAAAATCCTCTGAGTAAAATGGTCCCTCTTTAAATTGGGTTGATGCTACTCAAGGTAATGAGACAATGAAAGGATTAATTGGGTGATGATTAAGTACTGATGATGAACCCTACTGAAGAGAAACACAAAACTACAAATAATTTCAGTCACTGCCTTAGATGAAATCAGCTGAAACATAATACATGAAATCTCTCAAAATCTCAGCAGAGGAGCAACTTCACAAACAGCTTTACTTTTTACCAACGTGCTTGTCCTTTTTTTCAAATACTCTCTGAACTGAGTAAATTTTACTCTTTTAAATTTTGCTGTGTCGGCTAATAAAATACAAAAGAAATACAATAAATTAAAATAAAATAAACAATCAAAAAAAAAACCTTTCAAAGATCACCTGCAGCATTAGTGAGCAATAGTCATGGCACAGTGGCGTCTGTCATGCTTTAGGGTCCCCCTGAAACATATCCATTGTGTTTCGAAGTTTTTGAGTTGTGAGAAAATGCAGCGTGTTTTATTTAAATGTGTTTGTGTTGTATTTGCAGCATCTTTTCTCAATTTGCTGGCGTTTTTTTGGAATTGCATGTGTTTTCTTAAATTGCAGTACGTTCAGCTCTCTCGGCCACCGTAAATATTACTGTAGCTTTATCCGACAGACTAGGCAAACAGTTCAAACACTGTAATGAGCGAGCGCTTCTAGTCTCATGAAGATGTATGTGTGAGCATGCACTCAGACACAAGTTCATTTATCAGAATGGAGTCATGCCTGCAAATGTAATTTATAGCAGTTGCTGCATCCTGGGCAATCGCACGAGAGAACCATTTTGGCAAAAACGTGCATCCCCGTCACCTCACAATTTTTCATTTTTTGATGAACTACCCCTTTAACCTGATCATGCTTTAGAAGCTGACAATGTACATTCTTATGGAAAATGCATTTACCTGTTGTTCTTTATTATAGTAAGGTTAAAATGACTAGAAAGTCATGAAAAAAAAAATTGTTCAACCAAAAATAGTTCATTCATCCTTTAAAGACAGCAGTGATTTTGAGATGTTCAAAGTCCAGAAAAGGAACCAAAAACAGTCATGGCTGCACAATATATTGTTTCAGCTTCCATATCACAATCCATATATACAATATTCTGGATTATTTATTTTTTAAAAGTGTGGATTATAATTGATAATTTCACAAGTATTTTATAAGGCCTCTATGAGGATTTTAAAAGTATTCAGGCATTAGTAATTGAACTGTATGTAACTTTGAACAATTCATAACAATTTATTTTGATGAATTGTTTATACAACAAAGGCTGCACAGTATTATTTTACATTTGATTATTCAATTACTGTATACCTGAAAACAGTTAGACTCCTCAGAAAACAATAAAACAATGTTTATTTAATTTGTTGTTATTTTTTTATTATTATTGAAATCATCTATGCTTTATCTAGATTATTATATTTTATGCATTTCCCAACATAATTCTCCCAGTCAATCTAAAATGATCAATTTTTCCAAATGGTTATTCAATTCATCTGGTAAAATTATAATTATGTTGCAGAATGTTTCCAATATCTAATTTAATGTGACTTCAGTGATTGAACTGTAATCATGCAAAGCACAGAACACACTTGTGCATCAAAAACGATGTTGCCAATGTTTTCTCTTCCTCATCAAGGTGTGCATTTACTACAAGCAATACAACGTGTTGGCATTAGAGTCAGAATCGCAGAAAACTTCCATGTAGTAAACTCGCATCTGGATCTGATGAGTAACATTGTTGAATAATGTTTTACGTTTTTGTTTTTGACACACAAAAGTGTTCTCAGAGCTTCATATGATTACAACTGAAGTCAAATGGACTGTTTTGATAATGGTTCTTGACTTAATTTCTCTGAACCATTACTGTCTAATAAAGGATGAGGCATCTCTGAAGATGAATGTTTGGGATGGCATTAGAGTGAGTAATTAATAATAGAATTTTGGTGAACTAACACTTCACAGTTAAACCAATTGTATAGCATCTATATTTGACTCTTATGTTTATATAAATCAACATATAAAAACATTTACAAGTGTCTAGGTGTGATATTTGACAGGAACATGTCCTTTTTGTGGATTCAAAAGCTTCAAAGCAGGGCAAAATGTTTTGGATTAATTGAGGAAGAAATATGCCATTAATGCAGGTGTTTTATTGACTTAAGGAATAGTAAAAATGTGCTGTACAGCAGAAGTAGAATTGCAATCTTGAGCCATACGTTTTCTACTGACATGCAGCAATACTTTATTTCTTTTTGAATGATTTATTGAAAATGACAAAAGAAATAGGTGGAGATAGATGCTTAAATTATTCCTTTTTGACATCACTACCAGGAGATAAACCATTTTATTAATGATGTCTTGTAAACATGGCGCATTTGCATTTTTATGAGTTATATAGTCTCGTAAACTTGGTGCACTTACATTTCTGTGCATTATCAGCATACTGGTGTGCATGTAAATGTGCACAATGAAGAGTTCTGTCTGAGAAGTTTTGTCTTGTTGTGTATGTTTCTTTAGATTTCTTGTGCAGCTGCCTGCCGCAGTTCACCGGGTCTCGCTGTGAGATGGAAGTGACGTCCTGTGTACCGTCACCTTGTCAGAACGGAGGTGATTGCAAGTCTGTTGGAAACAACTTCCTCTGTGGCTGCCTCAAAGGCTACACTGGAGTCATGTAAGTTTTGGCAGCATTTAAATCAATCTTGTGTATTTCAGATCTTGCTGTTACCGTTAATGTGTAAATCAGATCTTCATGTTTTCTCACAATAACCTTAATTTATAGTACCAAATTTTTAAATAAAAACAGTGCTTCAGGATGATATGGTTTTTAATAGACCTGTTGCATACAAAGAGTACAAAGATTTGTTATAGAACAATCTTTTTTAGACTTACTAAACATAAAATATCTACAAACATTAAAATGTACAGGCTACTGACCTACATAACCTAAAATTTCAATGTACAGATGGTTGGTTCGTCAATGGTGTATTCATTTAAAAATCATGCCTTATAATTTTGAACTGTATAATACAATTTTTTATACAAAATATTTGCACTTAGAGAGATGTTACTGTAGATGTTTTGAAAATAAAATTTTAAGTAAATAAATTAAATAACAATGTTTAGGTTCGAGCCCCAGCTAGGTCAGTTGGCATTTCTGTGTGAAGTTTGCATGTTCTCTTTGTGTTAACGAGGGTTTCCTCCTTGTGCTCCGGTTTCCCCCAGAGTCCAAAGATTCAACTCAATTGAAACCAAAATGCTATATAAAACACATAATACATGCAAACATACGAGGAACCACAATACATAAACTCTTTTAATAAACTATAAAAAAAAAATAAGTGTGTTTCAGTGACATCTGAAAAGACTCCAAAGTAGGAGATGCTCTTAAGGAGAGTGGAAGATCGTTCCTATGTCATAGAGCTGCTACTGATAAAGCTCTATCACCTTGACATTTCAAGCATGATCACAGAACTGTAAAATAGAATTGATCCTCAGAGCAAAAAGATCTCATGCGTTGGTGTATAATAATTAGCTCAGAAATAAACTTAGGGGCCAGGCTAGGGAGGGATTTAAAATCATACAACAGTTTGTTGTACTGAATTCTAAAATTGATTGGTAGCCAATGTAAGGAATCCAGTGCAGGTGTGATGTGCTCTGCTTTTTTGTGCCTGTTAAAAGCCTTGCAGCTGAGTTCTGGACCAGCTGGAGATGGGAGAGAGAGGCCTGACTCACACCCACATACAATGCGTTGCAATAACCCAGATGAGAAGGCATGAACAACCTTCACCAAGTCACTGAAAGAGAGGACAGACTTTGACTTGACAATCTAATAGAGGAAAAAAAACAATTGACAACTGCATTATTTTGCCGATCAAATTTAAGCTTGACACCAAGACTTTTTAAAGAAGAATGTTTTTTCAGGAAGCAATAACAGTCATTAGAATCCAAACATTTTTGACCAAAAACAATAATAGACATGCGCTATAGGTGAACTGAATAAACTAAATTAACTTTAGTGTATGTGTGTGAATGTGAGAGTGTGTTGGTGTTTTCCAGTACTGGATTGCAGCTGGAAGGACATCTCCTTTGTAAAACATATGCTGGATAAGTTGGCGGTTCATTCCGCTATGCTGATAAAAAAAAGGGACTAAGCTGAAGTAAAATGAATGACTGAATGAATAATGTTCAGAATTTTGGGGATTTTTAATATGTTTTGTTATCTTGGGTTTTAAACAGATATGATCATAAATACATTTACACTCACCGGCCACTTTATTAGGTTCACCTGTCCAACTGCTCGTTAACACAAATTTCTAATCAGCCAATAACATGGCAGCAACTCAGTACAGCATGTAGACATGGTCAAGACGATCTGCTGCAGTTCAAACCGAGCATCAGAATGGGGAAGAATGGGAATTTAAGTGACTTTGAACGTGGCATGGTTGTTTGATGCCAGACGGACTGGTTTGAGCATTTCAGAAACTGCTAATCTACTGGAATTTTCATGCACAACCATCTCTAGGGTTTACAGTGGTGGTTCTGTGGGCACAAATGCCTTGTTGATGCCAGAGGTCAATGGAAAATGTCCAGACATGTTCGAGCTGATAGAAAGGCAAAAGTAACTCAAATAACCAAATGTTACAACCGAGTTATGCAAAAGAGCACCTCTGAACACAACACATCGAACCTTGAGGCGGATGGGCTATAGCAGCAGAAGACTACACCAGGTCCCACTTCTTTTAGCTAAGAACAGGAAACTGAGGCTGCAATTTGCCCAGACTCACCAAAATTGGACAATAGAAGATTGAAAAAACATTGCCTGGTCTGATGAGTCTCATGATGATGCTATCATGTCAATATGGACCAAATTCTCTAAGAAATATTTACAGTAACTTGTTGAATCTATGCTAAGAAAGATTAAGGCAGTTCTGAAGGCAAAAGGGGGTTGAACACGGTACTAGTAAGGTGTACCTTATAAAGTGGCCAGTGAGTGTGTGTGTGTGTGTGTGTGTGTGTGTGTGTGTGTGTGTGTGTGTGTGTGTGTGTGTGTGTGTATAACACATTTAAATATATTTTAAATTATTAATTTTGAAAGTCTAAGAAATGTGTATTTTCCAAAAGAGATTTTTGGCATTTTTTTACTTAATGTTTTTACTAATTATTATATTTTGCTGTTCCAAAATGATATCACATTTTAAAAAAATATGTCTTTTTGAGTTAAAAATTGTAAAAAAAAGGTTTAAATTGCTTAGGCTTTATATGTTTATTCTGTTAAAATGCAATTATTGAGTCTCATTTAACAAATCAAAACTCATTTTATGGGAGCCGTTCTTGAGCAAACAAACGGTTTAACAGTCAATTTTCTTTATGATAATTGTGTCTTTAGTGTTTAGTAAAGACTGTTTTGGGCAGCAGCACACACTTCTAAAAGTCATTATTCTTGGTGTTCAACTGCTGCTTTTTCTCTGACACCTTGATTGTTTGAACGAATGGTTCAATACTTACGTGACACTGTAAAATGGGTATGTTGTTTACTCATTTTAATTAGATCTTAACACTAATTACTCAAATCGTTTAACAGCAATCCATCACAGAAATCCCATTATGGCTTGTCTAATTTCTGTGCGGTGTAATTATTTTATTCAATATGAGTTGAATTAGAGTTGTTTCTCCACTAGAGGATGCTGTTGTTGCTTTTTTAAGCAAACCCAAATCTGAATCCAACCATCTGAGAAAACTCTGGGACCTGCATGTGTCCTTCTCCTCTTTATGCCCTTTTAAAATCATAATAAAAACCTAATTGCTTTATATAACTGCTGTATAGCTACATTCTCTGTGTCATTAAGTTATGCAATACAAACAACTCTCTCATTATGTTCTCTTACACTCGCTTGAGAGATTCCTTGAAATGTCTGGCGCTCAGAGTACATATAAAGAGTTCTCTCATCATTACATATTTGCTGTTTGCAGCGCAGTGGGGATTTCTGCTAAATGTGAAAATTCACAAAATTTTGAAGGCAACAAGAAACTGATTTCCCTGCTTAAGATCAGATAATGAGAGAAACACTAAGGCTGAGTTCACAGAAGTGCGCTGCTATTATGCATGCATGGGGTTTCATGCATTCACTATTATTTTTTATTGAGCAAGGACTCATTAAATTGATTAAAAGTGACAGTAAAGTAATGCCTTTATTAATCAGACTTATTTAAGTTTTCAGTCTTTTGAAGGATAATGAGCAGATTCTAACTTGCGGTAACCTCTGATATTTCAACAGACATCAGTCTAAAACGATTTTTGATATAAAAACGTGACAAGTTTGCATTCCTGGATGATAAATTGATGATGATGACAGTGAAGACATATATAATGTAGCATGAAGTTCTTATTTCAAATATCTGCTGTTCTTTAAAATACCTCAAGATGTTTACAAAAATCAGTTAACAACACTATTATATAAGCATATTAGAATGATTTCTGAATGATAATCTTATTAAAATAATGATGCAAAAAATTGCCATCGTTGCCATCATAATAATACATTAATTTGAAAGCATATTACAGTAAATTAGGCAATTATATCTATATTTAGATAATAAATAGTATGCAATTAAAATGTATAACAATGCATTTACGGTTTGGTTTATACAATTTTCTGATAGTATTACTGTATTTGTACACACACCTTACAAAGACATTGATTTGTTCCAAAGTACCTTTAAGGCAAGTCATTTCACTCGGCGGCCATCTTTAAAACTCCTCTCAGGCAGTATGCTCGGACATTGTCTGAATGGGGAAACATCCAATTCTCCAAAAATGTTTGCAAGCTTACGATTACATTACATATTTAGAACCACCTATAAAACTAACAACTTTAGTCTCAGAAGTTTCATTTCTGAACATTTGAATCAAACATAACATATTTTTTAGGTTGCCCATGCTAATGTGCATGCACACTCGAAAGGAACAAGATCAGGCTATTCTACACATTATCATCCTCTAATCAAAGCTTCATCCGATCGTGCTGGTAATCCACAACTTGGTCTTGATGGTAAATCTCCTCCAGCAATGACAGTGACTCTTTGTTTACAAGTTTGTGGGCAATTTGAGTTACTGCTTTTATGTGATGTGCATTTGACAGGACAGACTGTACCTCATGTTCATTTCATACAGATTACAAAACCAAAATACCTTTGTTTTCAAATGTAGTTGGTTCCTTTAAAAGTACATATTTCAAGCTTTATTGTGATATGTTCCTCATGTCTGTGAAACAAATATTCACTGAGATTCCAGTGCATTTGTTGACCACCAAACTGTTGTAAAAGCTTAGAATGACCAAGAGGCGACACTCAATATCAGGGGCGTTGCTAGGGTCGAAAGGGATAAGGGGCTTAGCCCCAAAGAACCCCCCCCCCCCCCCCCCCCCCCCCCCCACCCCCCAAAAAAAAAGAAGTTTTAATTCACCGCACTAATATACCTATTTTTTTTATACCTATAAAAATGGTTAATAATAAATAAAGGGTTTTTAAGACTTGTAAAATCCAAATAGGAAAAAAACTAGTCTGTTATGAGCCATATCATACCTCTTGAGCCTCATATCTCCTCCTGATTTGAAGTTTCTGTTTGTTTTTTGAAAATATAATTTTCTGCATGTCTTCAAATCTGAAAATATGATTTATTTTTATAGTGTGAGTTGTTATCTAATGTGATACAAAGCTACAAACATGTTCATTTGGACAGAGTGATTAACTGAGGTGTAGTGTTTTCAAAATAATGGATTTTCTAAATTCAATACCTTGCAAAATATCGATATTCAATAGGCTACTATGTTTTACATAATAACAATTCTATTAAAAATAGTAGGCTATCTAAGGCTACAAAAAAATAAAAATAAAGATCTATATGCTAGAAATATGTTTACTTTAAATTTCTTCAGAGGGATTTTTTTTTCAGTTTTCCTCAAAATAGGGTGATATGGGCATTGTAGCACTTTAAATGCATGTAATGCCTGTTTTATTCATACTTGAGCAGAAATTCCATATATATTCTTCACAAAAGTAGTAGAACATTCTAGGAAATCCCTAATATGGATGAAGGCATCCAGCTGTTGCTGTAGTAGAATAAAAATACGATCTGAATAAAAATAAAAAGGCTTTAACCGATCATTTACACGACTGCAACAATAAATGTTTTATACAGTTGAAATCAGAATTATTAGCCCTCCTTTGAATTTTATTTTCTTTTTTAAATATTTCCCAAATGATGTTTAACAGAGCAAGGAAATTTTCACAGTAGCCTATGTCTGATAATATTTTCCTTTTTGAGTAAGTCTTATTTGTTTTATTTAAGCTAGAATAAAAGCAGTTTTACATTTAAAAAAAAAACATTTTAGGGTCAAAATTATTAGCCCCTTTAAGATTTTATATATTTTTCCTATAGTCTACAGAACAAACCATCGTTATACAATAACTTGCCTTATTACCCTAACCTGCCTTTAAAGCCTTTAAATGTCACTTTAAGCTGTATAGGGGTGTCTTAAACAACGTCTAGTCAAATATTATTTACTGTCATCATGGCAAAGATAAAATAAATCAGTTATTAGAGTTGAGTTAATTAAACTATTATGATTATAAATGTGCTGAAAACAATATTCTCTCTGTTAAACAGAATTTGGGGGAAAAAATAAACGGGGGCTAATAATTCAGACTTCAACTGTTTGTTCTTCCAACCATTTTAGGTATTTTCATAAGAAAGTCGATTTATAATTTGATTCAAACTGACATAGCATGTTACAGTAGAGTTATATAATAATAAGCTAGATGCATAAACTCACTGTGATTTAACTATTACAGAAACAGATGTGACTTGCTATATCATATAAATATATCATATCTAGAAAGCTAGTACAATTTACGTTTTTTTTTACTTGTATTTACATTGATATGATGCACATTTTACTGATTATAGTTATTTTATGTCACCAAAACTACACACATTTTATACTGTGGAAACAAGCTTCATCAGTAGTTAAAACTATTCAGTTTCGCGAAAGAGTTGTATTATTACCTCATTAGCTTCAGCTCCTCAAAATAATAAATGAATGATGTGCAGTGGCGGGATTTTTTTTAACACCATGTGACAACAAAGCCACTCCCACCTGCCGGTAGAAACAGGTACTGCTGAACAGCTGACGGTTTAATTACCTGACACAAACGCTGCGTTAAGTGGAATGTTCGTGATGTATGTGGTAATTTTTAGTACCTACATAACAAAATAAATGTTATACAACATATTTTTATTTAAGTGCAACATATTCCAAGAGATCAGGGGCTTTTGACAATACATCAGGGGCTTAAGCCCCCAAAGCCCCCCCCTCGCAACGCCCCTGGTTTCATTGCAACAGCAGCGCCCAGCAACAGCCCTGAATTCCGCCATTTTGGTGTGAAAGCGATCGGCTGTCCATTGGGTCTTATTGCTGTCGCAATGGCAAGCAGTTGCTTTGTCTTTTATTTATTTATTTAAAAAGTACATTAAAGCTGAGATAAAACCTGAAAGACGACAATACACTTGCTATACTGAAAATATTATATATTACTATATACTGAAAATACTAAATACTGAAATTTGCTTTACTTGCTTTTAATAGTTTATTTTACAGACTTATAATATGCTGTTGTTCTAATGGAATTTTCATTTTAAAATGCCCGCCGCGCCATCTAGTGGCTGTTTCCCAAATCGCACTAGTGTGTCGCCTCTTGGCGATTCTAGGCTCTTTGCTAGTAGGCAGGGCTTTATTTGCCATATTGACCATTACAGTTTTCCCCTATTCAAAACTAGACGAGTGACATGTCTTGTCTATTCTATAGTCTCTGTTTGTTCATTTGGTTATCTTTATATTTGTTTAAAATCATCAAATTTCAAATATATATATTGTTTAGCACCTCTATTACTTTACATATTTTATGGAACAATAAACAAAGAAGTTTAGGATATTTCAAGATGTCTACCCTGCTGAAAAAACCAGCCTAGGCTGGTTTAAGCTGGATTTTTCAGCAGGGTAATATCTGTAGTGGAATATCAACATAATGTCTAATACATCAAAGTAAATGTGCTGTGGTTAGGGCTGCACGATTCTGGCTAAAATGAGAATCACATTTTTTTTTTTTGCTTAAAATCAAGATCATGATTTTCTCACGATTCTATAAAAGTAAAATAAACCTTAATATGAGTAGGCCTACTAGGCCATTATTATTGTTATTTCTCAAACATATGGTAAAACAATAACAATATTATGTGTATTGTGTAGGTCTAATATTGATTAAAATGCAAAATTTTGTATAGACTTAAAATGGTGGACTTGAACAGACTTTAAATTTGTCTTAGTCATTATTGCACAGTAACGTCAAGTTCAGACTGCATGATTTTAGCCCCGATTTTGATTTTTTCGATTTTTTCGGCGATAGGTTTTGATAAATCGCAGACAAATACCTGAAATCACAGGCAAATTGGTGCTCGTGCACGCGAGTAACAATCACACAGTATAAACTATCAAAGACACAATCTGAGAGAATCGCAAATGAGTCGCCGACACCCGTGAGATATTTGGCATGCTAAATATCTGGAGCTGTTGGCGATTTAAATCATGCCGTGTGAAATGAGGTCTGATTAAAAATAACATTAATGATCACCTATAGCCAATGAGAAAGCAGCATTTACTACTTTGAGTACCTGCAGGCCAGCGGGAGGTTGGGGGAGAAGTTAAAAGCGCTCATTTTCAGTTAACTTGGACCCAAGGAATTGAGGAAAAAATAATGAAAAATTTGGCAGGAGCACCATGTCTGTTTGACATGTCATCTGAGCAATAAGCACAACCCGATCGAAAAATAAAAAAAAAAGTTTAAGAGTAAATGCTCCTTTCAAAGCCAGGTGAGCCACGGTTAGCAGCTTACGTCACTTGTGATTTCGTGACCGCGAATACAGCATTACATTAAGAGAGAAATTATTATTATTATTATTATTTTTGAATTATACCTTATAAATACAGTATGTGACTGTTTCAACACCATTTGGAAATGTCCACGTTGCTGAGCTATGTATATAAAACAATGTGAAGACAATGTGCAGCCATCTTTGCTTCTCTCCTGAACATGAAAATATGATTGGCAGAACCGTAGAAATGCTGGATTAAGATCATCTAGGGCAGGGATGGCCAGTCCTGTTCCTGGAAATCTACCCTTCCTGCAGATTTCAGTTGCAACCCTTATCAAACACACCTGTCTGTAATTACCAAGTGGTTTTCAGGTCCTAATTAATTGGTTCAGGTGGGTTTGATCAGGGTAGAAGCTTAACTGTACAGGAAGGTAGATCTCCAGGAACAGAATTGATCTAGGGGCTCGAATCGAGATCGCAATCTTTTTTAGATTAATCGTGCAGCTCTAGCTGTGGTGTTTTCATTTATGAGAACTGTATCACATTAAATAGAATGCAGTATAAACAGAAAGCTATCACTTACTTTCCAACAGCCTAACATGAACACATCCTTCTGTCCACAGATGTGATGAGGATGTGAACGAGTGTGAGAGAGAGGAGTGTGAAAATGGAGGAAAGTGTGTCAACACATTCGGGGCCTTCTACTGTAACTGCAGCACAGGCTTTGAGGGTCAGTTCTGCGGGCAGCCGTCGCTAGACAGCCTGGACACTGAAGCCTTGTCATACGTCGGACCGGGAGAGATCATCGGCATCGGCGTTTTGCTGTTCGTTGTTTTGGTCTTGTTGACCCTACTGGCCGCCTTTCGTAAAAAAGTCCTCCGGAAGGACTGGAGCCGAGGAGAGGCAGTGGGCATCTCCACAGAGACCAACTACATGCTGCATAAGACCAGCATCGGAGCTGAGGGAATTGAGTTCAAATCTGTACGAGTCAGTGGCGAGTGTCGCACTAGCTTGTACCGAAATGACAGTACAGGAGGGCCACCGCAGGTCATGGTGCGTCCCACAGCCTACACACTTCCCCAATGCCAGGGCATCCCCCGAGGGGAGATAGATAAGGCTGATGGAGGCCTGGCCACCCTTTGCTGCCCTCCACAGATGAGCACCTTCCAGCCGGATCTGCCACACATCCTTGGGATGCCAAGAAGAGGTGTAGCCATCTGCAGTGTGGCACCCAATCTACCCCCATCACTGTCCCCAAATCCATCCGAACGCAGTCCAATCCGCAAACCTCCCTGGGAGGAAGAGGAGGATGACGACGATGAAGATGATGACGACAACAACACGGAGCATAAAGTCCGAGCTCTGGAGTGGGAAGGCAGAGGTTATCAGGTGGATGGACAGGAAGCTTACAGAAGTGGGGGTAAAATTGTGGCACACATACACGAACACACACTCTCCACTCATCTCAGATCAAACGGAGGCTGACAAACTGCAGCGAAAGCAATTTCAGCATGACCCCCTAACACCCCATGGCCAATTAAATGTCAGCCTTTGTGTGGATGAGATGCAGATATACACTGGTCTCCATTTGCGCAATACCATCACACAATAACGTTTGATGGAGTGTAATTACCTTAGAGATAATATTAGGCTTTCACATACTTTCCACATCCTGATAAATGCTATACATTATGAGCTAATCACAAACAGTGCTTGTAGGTGCGTGTTCATAATAAATACAGATAGGCTGGCTGGCTGGCTGGCTGAATGACTGATTGATTGATTTATTGATATATTTGCAGTGTTGAAGAAAGTTTCCTTTGAAAATGATGCATTACAATATTGAGTGCACAAAAAGTAACTAGTTACATTGCTTTTGAGTTACTTTCTCTTACCTGGCTAAGGCTTGATCTCTTTCATAACTTGAAGTTTTTTTCTTCTTTTTTTAATAGAGGAGCTCTGCATTTTACAACACACTGTGTAACCTATACGCCTTAATTTTTCAGCAAAAATAATAATTTTGAACAGTTATCTTCTGAGAACTTCCAGATTCCCAAGCTCTACATGCCGTATATACAGATCACAATGTTTAAAGCAATGTGTTTGCTATTTAAGTACTTTTTGTCTTTATAGTTAAGTACAATCATTGCCCATTGAGACAATTGCTTTTTCCTTTTCTCCGATGTGTTCAGAATAATGAGAATACTTTCATCATAGAAATGTAAAAGCTCTGGTCTACCTCTTGTTTCCAAAGGTAGCAAATTCTATTGAGTGTGTGATTCAATGTGACTACGATCATTTTAATTCAGCAAATAATTTTTTAAAAGCAAATTATTTAAACTAAAAAAGTAACTCCTGTTTTTACTTTTTTTCTCCTTAACCTCTCACTGCTCCTATTGCCTAAGCATAGAAAGAAAAAAAAAAAACGCGTGTCAAGCCATGAGAACCGAACTGAACCAAACCGAACCAAACCGAACCGAAAATCGTGTTAAAAAAACGAGGTGTTTATTGAACCGTATACTAACTGTATTGTCCCTTGTGTAAACACGAAAAAAAAATATATACAAAAAAAATAAATAAATAAATTATATATATATATATATATATACATGTGTATATATGTATATATATATATATATATATATATATATATATATATATATATATATATATATAATTATTATTATTATTATTATTATTATTATATATTAAAGCATCAGCTTTCAGCTTGACCAGGGACTCATAAATTGTTTCACAGCAGAGCACATTATACTAATCAGAACCATCTGCCATGCTTTATTGTTGCAGCCTTCAAAATAGGCCAACAGGAGCCTTTTTGTCCCATAAAATATTTAATAGTGTGCCCATGCAGGTTGGCAGCTTGTACATATTGAGAGAGTGATTATTACACCTCCACTTGTGGAAACGTGTTACTTGCATCACAAAAACAGATGTTTTTTTCTTCTGCACATTGAGTGCTCAAGTAAATGACCTTGGTCTTGTTAGTGTTTTCTTTAAGCAGAAAGTCATTGGTCATAGACTGCTTGTTGGATATAACAGCGTTTACTGTGGTATAAATATAGGACAGATAATATTGCTTGGTGAGAGATTTGATATGTCAATACTGTTACTGGCCCTATCGCAGATATACAGTGTTAGTAGATTATTTACAATAAATCAATCAATCAATAATTCAATCAATCAATCAATCAATCAATCAATCAATCAATCAATCAATCAATCAATCAATCAATCAATCAATCAATCAGTCAGTCAGTTAGTCAGTCAGTCAGTCAGTCAATCAGTCAGTCAGTCAATCAATTGTAGTCTGTTGCTGACAGATTACATCACAGGTGTCAAATCTAATTCCTGAAGGGCAGCAGCTCTGCAAAGTTTAGCTTTAACCCTAATTAAACACACCTGATCAAACTAATTCATTCCTTCAGGTTTGTTTGAAACCTACAAGTAAAGCTACAGTCACACTAGAGTTTCTATTAGAGCTTGTGAAATTCTGTACAACAGCATTGCGAAAAAAGGCAGGATTAAACAAGATTTTAAAAAGTGAGCGATTTGTTCATGATTGTTTCTCAATATCAAGTACGCAAAGTTTGGAGTTCAGACTTGGAAGAACGAACTCTCAAGGACGCAAGGACACAAGTGGGGTACTTTTTTAAATGGAATGGCAGTGTACTTTATAACATCACTTACCTCAGTATGGATTCATCCGTTTCACTGAAAATTAACAATAAAATGATTTAATTATACAAATCACGACCTTGTAATTAATATTATATTAACATTATAAATCAACATTTTTGATTAAAAAATGTAAACATAAATCCATATAAATGTGAAGTAAAATGAGTTGTTATACACAGACACATGTCTTTGATGATCAGATTTAATAAACTACAATGGTAATTATACAAGTATATACACAATAAGAAATAAAGACATGCACAATAAGAAATAAAGATTATGTCAAACAATTTGGTAAAAAATACAAACAGCATAGAACAAGGTAACATAATTAAAGACAATTATAAAAGGTAACAAAATAATACTGCCAAAATAATAAACCTAAGAACAAATAATAGGTTTAAGAGACCAAAAACTGTCCGTTAGATATGCACAAGATGAATTAAATATCATGTTTTAACTACAATGGAGAGATGAGATCCAGCGGTACATACGATATAGACTGGCCAAAGTAAAGCTGTTATCGGCGGCGGAGGTGATGACGGAGCTCCCGCTGGTAGGCTGGAAGTCAGAGTCCGCATAAGCTTACATTTACATTTACATTTAGTCATTTAGCAGATGCTTTTATCCAAAGCGACTTACAAATGAGGACAAGGAAGCAATTTACACAACTATAAGAGCAACAATGAATAGGTGCTGTAGGCAAGTTTCAGGTCTGTAAAGTCTAAGAAGGAAAGCATTAGTAATGTAAGAAATTTTATTTTTTTTTTTTTTAAAGTTTTTTTGAGTACAGTTAGTGGTATAGCCAGAGAGGCAATTGCAGATTAAGAAGGAAAGTGGAGACTAAATAGTCGAGTTTTTAGTCGTTTCTTTTAGACAGCAAGTGACTCTGCCATTCTGAAGCAGTTAGGGAGTTCATTCCACCAACTGGGCAGATTGAATGCGAGAGTTCGGGATAGTGATTTCTTCCCTCTTTGGGATGGAACCACGAGGCGACGTTCATTCACTGAACGCAAGTTTCTGGAGGACACATAAATCTGCAGAAGTGAGAGCAGATAAGAAAGAGCAAAGCCAGAGGTCACTTTGTAGGCAAACATCAGACCTTTAAATTTGATGCGAGCAGCAACTGGCAGCCAGTGCAAATGGGTGAGTAGCGGAGTGACATGTGCTTTTTTAGGTTCATTAAAGACCACTTGTGCTGCTGCTTTCTGGAGCAGCTGAAGAGGTTTGATAGAGTTACCTGGAAGCCCCGCTAGTAGAGAGTTGCAGTAATCCAGTTTGGAGAGAACAAGAGCCTGAACAAGAAGTTGAGCTGCATGTTCAGATGGGTCGGACCTTTCTGATGTTATAGAGTGCGAATCTGCAAGATCGAGCAGTTCTAGCAATGTTGTCAGAGAAGTTTAGTTGGTCATCAATCGTTACTCCAAGGCTTTTCACCATTTTGGATGCAGTAATGGTTGCCCCATCCATCTGGATTGAAAAGTTATGGTGTAGAGTCGGGTTGGCAGAAACTTCAAGCATTTCCGTTTTCGCGAGGTTAAGCTGAAGATGATGATCTTTCATCCAGTGTGATATATCCAACAGGCAGGCTGAGATGCGAGCTGGAACCGAGGGATCATCAGGGTAAAAAGAGAGGTATAGCTGGGTATCATCAGCATAGCAGTGGTAGGAAAATCCATGTTTCTGGATGACTGGTCCTAGAGATGTCGTGTAGAGAAGAGGCACAAGAAGCTGAGGCACATCGTCAAAGACGTGCTATGTTTGTTAATAAACTGCCAATTCGAGTTTAAAACCACTACATTCTCAACTGAAAAACTGTAAAAAACTTTATTTTGTGGCACAGTAAAGGAGTATTTTTAGAAACCGTGCAGGTTTTCTCCTCCGCCATTAGTGTTTGCTGGTTTAGCTTCAATGCATTCAGGGATACCTGTGCTTCGCAAGTTTGGTCACCTCTCGATCCTTGGCCAAAGGGGCAGAGCAAGTACACATCCAGGAATTTTATCTGTACCTGGCAAGATGTGAACTTTGAATTGGAACAGTACTTTGGTGACGGTTGATGACGTTTCACAAGGACACAAGAACGCAAGTACAGACAAGAAAGCATATTGATAAACAACCCATATTTTAAATTTCTGTCTAGAGAGGTCATGAAACTTGTCGCACGAGCTTGGGTTTCCGGTCTGACACATTCACGTGCGTATGTATGGAATCCTATAGGGAGAAAAGTCCAGTGTGACTGCAGCTTCAGTATGTTGATGCAGGGCTGGAACTAACCAAAACCAACCGCAGAGCTGCGGCCCTCCAGGAATTGGATTTGACACAAGTGGATTGCATGATCAAAATTGTCTTGCATATTGTAAATGTAATCCAAATACTTTTGGATTACCTTTAATTTACTGTTAATGTCGACTTAAATCTTCTACTTCATATTATTTGGCAGTTTCCCCATGACCTAGTGTTACTACTTTATCATTTTGTTGACATTGGCTTTATAATTTTGTTGACATTGACATGAATCTGACATGAAATTTTTACAACAGAAAGGAGAAAGAATCAGTTATCATTCTGTGAATTTTGTTTAATCATGTAACTGCAACAAATTGACAAAGTATAAAAACAAATTCATAAACACAGTGAAAATCATAAAAAGACAACAATTATAACTCTGTCATAACTGTATTTGCATATGTTGAGTGCTTATACACCAGAAATGCATGCGCTGGCACGTACTTGGATCTGTGTGAGAATCTGCCACTTTATTCTCCTGCAGGAGCTGTAAACGCAGCAGAAGAGGTCACCGGCTTCTCTGACAGCAGCACCAGCGAGGCTCATTCCCTCAGGTCTTTCCAGTCCGATTCCTGCGACGACAACGGTAAGATACAACCATTGCAACAACCAAAAATCCTCAGCTTACCCTGCAAAAAAAAAAAGGTCCCACTGCTCAAACATTTTTCAAAGCTTAATTTGCTGCTCTGGAAAAGTTCAGTGGATGGTTTTAAATGGGAATTGTTTCTTTAGGGCATCTTTTTCTATTATGCTTTAACTCTACCTAACCAGTAGATTATTAGGCTCTGGAATATACATTTCACAATTCCCCATGGTTTCACAAAAAATATTAAAGCTGCAACTTCTGAATAAACCACAGTGCAATTAGATAACATACTGAATGAACCCTTCACATTGATGTTTTCTCGCTTCGTGTTATATAAGCCTCGTCTCTTTGCACCCATCAGCTCTTTTTGTTAGTCAGCTTTTGATATGCTTTAAGGAAGAGTTCGGAGGGAAGTCGGTTACTCACTCTTGTGACATTCCAAACCTCTATTACTTTTATATGTTATGGAATGACTAACAAAGAGGTTTAGCGGAATGTTCAGGATGTTTACTGTATATCCGTGCAATAAAAGTCAAGATGTTTAGAGCGGACAAAAATATGTTAAATATTAATTTATATATACGTATAATGTAAATGTTAATGCTGTGGCTCCATTGATATAAAAAATACCGCATATGTGTTACATTTATTCTTAGCCTCCAACTCAAACACTGGTTAGTGAAATCTAACAGCTTGTTAGCCATAGACTAACAATATAAATTATTTAGTCAAATTTGGTCACATATACACTCACTGGCCACTTTATTAGGTATACATTCCTAGTACTGGGTTGGACCCTTTTTTGCCTCCAGAACTGCCTTAATCTTTCATGGCATAGATTCAACAAGGTAATGGAAATATTACTGAGATTTTGGTCCATGTTGACATGATTGCATCACACAGTTGCTGCAGATTTGTCAGCTGCACATCTTTAATGCGAATCTCCCGTTCCATTGCATCCCAAAGATGCTTTATTGAATTGAGGTCAGGTGACTGTGGAGGCCATTTGAGTTCAGTGAACTCATTATCATGTTTAAGAAACCAGTCTGAGATGATTCGCGCTTTATGACATGGCACTTTATCTTGCTTGAAGTAGCCATCAGAAGATGAACACACTGTGGTCATAAAGGGATGGACATGGTCAGGAACAGTACTCAGGTAGGCTGTGGCGTTGAAATGATGCTCAATTGGTACTAATAGGCCCAAAGTGTGCCAGAAGTGTGCCTTCTGTTGTCCAATTTTGGTGAGCCTGTGTGAACTGTAGTGTCAGTTTCCTGCACATTCCTAGCCCATCAGCCTCAAGGTTGGACATGTTGTGCATTCAGAGGTGCTCTTCTGCATACCTTGGTTGTAACGAATGGTTATTTGAGTTACTGTTGCCTTTTTATCAGCTTAAACCAGTCTGGCCATTCTCCTCTGACCTCTGGGATCAACAAGGCATTTGTGCCCACAGAACTGCCGCTCACTGGATATTTTCTCTTTTTCAGACCATTCCCTGTAAACCCTAGAGATGGTTGTGCATGAAAATACCAGTAGATTAGCAGTTTCTGAAATACTCAGTCCAGCCTGTCTGGCACCAACAACCATGCCATGTTGAATGTCGCTTAAATCAGCTTTCGTTCCCATTCTTATGCTCGATTTGACTTGCAGCAGATCGTCTTGACCATGTCTACATGCTTAAATGCATTGAGCTGCTGCCATGTGATCGGCTGATTAGAAATTTGCGTTAACAAGCAGTTGGACAGGTGTACCTAATAAAGTGGCCGGTGAGTGTACAGTACCTGTGATTTACCTGCGTTGTAGAGGGATGTAATATTAATAATTGAAGTGCTCTGGCTGTCACCTTAAAATGTTTTTCACATAGTGATTAGTGAAATATACTGCAACCTTAGCCAGTGTCACTGCAGCTCATGATACGTGTATGCTTAATTGCTTCATTTACTTTTTAGTTTTAATTCAATTCAATTCAGCTTTATTTGTATAGCGCTTTTACAATGTAGATTGTGTCAAAGCAGCTTCACATAAATGGTCATAGTAACTGGATCAGGGTAGTTCAGTTTTTCTGTTTAAGTTCAGTTCAGTTTAGCTCAGTTCAGTGTGGTTTGAAGTCATTATTGAGAGTTCAAACACTGAAGAGCAAATTCATCGATGAGTAGCTTTTCAGATCCTGAACCATGCAAGCCAGTGGCGACAGCGGAGAGGGGAAAAAAACTTCACCAAAAGGAGAGTGAAAAAAAAAAACCTTGAGAGAACCAGACTCAGTTCGGCACGACCATTTTAATTTCTCCGCTGGCCAAAAGTGTTGTGCAGAGCTGCAGTCTCTTAAGTTAAATACTTCTAATTATGGTTTAGTATGTGTCTGTAATGTACAACAATGTTACATGTAACATTATTTCTCAGCCCACATATGTATGCATGCGATTGTAAGGAGACTTGCACGAAGACTATTATCTAATATTTTTTGGTGTATGCACACACAATTTCTATTAAATTTAAAGTGTTGTCATTAAAATCATTGGTTATAATTTAAAAATTTAATTATTAAATAATTATTTAATTATATATATCTAAAAAAATTATATATATATATATATATATATATATATATATATATATATATATATATATATATATATTTATTATTAGATTTTTTTTAAGTTTTCAGATATGTTTATATAAAAACATACATTATTTAATCTGACCAACTGTCTGAAAAAAAACCTTAAATTACAATATATTTATTTTAAATTTGCATATTTAATTTTTTTTAATTTTCCAAAAAAATGAATTAAAAATAAAAATAAATAAAAATAATAATATTATAATTTACATTGTTTTTAATCTGGATAGAAGTTTAAATTGAACAGCTCTATAACTAATGAACAAGTTTATTAAAATTCAGTGTTCTTTACAAATCTATAATCCTTTAACTGGCATTGTACCGTACGGTATCTTAAAAAATAAAATAAATTATCTTAGAAGTAGGGCCATGATAGTGGAAAAACATTTCAATATTTTTATTCTGAGATATATTTTGCAATATCAGTACAATTTCACAAGATTACTTGCCTAAATATTTGTAAAGAGTTTGTCATTTTAAAAACTTATTGGAATGATTTGTTAGGGTAGTGCATATAATATAATAGATAAGTTCAATAAAGGAAAAGATACAAATTATAGCTGCAAGCAGCACTTATCAGGGCCAAGCAGCCCAGCGGCCACATCATAAACAAGCACTGCAACAAGCTACAGAGAAACGGGAAAATTCTACAACTTTTTGGCAGCATGGTATGAGCCAATTTTGGATGGAAATTGAGCTGACGGTCTATGGAGAGTTCAAGACAATAGATTTTCAGACTAATTCAAGATGGTGGACAGAAAGTTGTGTCAATTAAGGAATAAATTATATCAATGTTCTCGGTTTCATCCAAGGAATTTATCAAGACGGTCTCATGACAATGGACAAACTATTCAAAAGTCATTTGATAAATTTAACCAAGATATTGGTAAACCAAGATATTGGTAAAAAAAAAAAAGGGGAAAATTAAGATTTACTCACTATTTACTCACCCCAATTAGTTCAAAATCTTTGAGTTTCTTTATTTACTTGAAAATTAAAGTAGATATTTTGAAGAAGGCTAAAAACATGTAACAACTGACGTCCATAGTATTTGTTTTTTCTATTTTGGAACTCATAGGTAACAGGTTTCTAACTGTTCACAATACTTTCCTTTGTGTTCAGCAGAAAAAAGAAACTCTAACAGTTTTAGAACAAGTGAAGGCTGTATATACTAGACAAAAATTGAAGTCAATAATTCATCTCTAAGTCACTCCATTACCTTCTCACAAACACACACATAAGATATTATCAAATTAACCTGTACAAACACTCTCAACTTCCCACCTGTACCACAATGACCCGATCTCATGCAAAAAAAGCAACTGATGATTCCATTAAGCTAATTAGAATGACTTGTGTTGCCTGATCTTTCCGAAAGGAAATCATGAGGATTAGTAATAACCCTACCCTGCGCTAACAACGTGACAGCTTGAATAGGTCAGAGCAGTGATTACAATCCATCTGCCTTTGATTTGCTCTCCAAACGCGATTGCTATCATGACTCAGTAGTGTAGTATCACTTCAGCTTTACAAAATAGACGCTAGTCTGACACATCTGACGTCCACTTGCTTTTGTTTAGCAGATTTCGTGATGCCGGAGGATTACGAAATGAAACACAGTGATTTATATAAATGCTTATGTAAGGTTTTTAGGGCTTGATGTTTGTTTGAAGTGTTTGTTTGATGTTTGATCATTAGTTCATTGTTGACTGACGTTTACACTTGTTTATGCTTTGAAGCCTCCATAGTGACTGTTATACGACTGGTAAATAATGCAGTGGACACCATTGAAAATGAAGGTATGATATATATCTATCCATAGGTATGATCTGTCTGTCATCTGTCTGTCTGTTTGTCTGTCTGTCTGTCTGTCTGTCTGCATTTGTCTGTTTGTCTGCTTGCCTGTCTTTCTATCTTTTTCATTTAGTCATACTTTCTTTTTATTTTTTCCTTCTTTCTTTCTTTGTTTCTTTTCTTTTTCTTTCTTTCTTTCTTTCTTTCTTTCTTTCTTTCTTTCTTTCTGTCTTTTTTCATGTTCTATTTCTTTCTTTCTTTTTCATTTTTTTCTTTCTTTCTTTCTTTCTTTCTTTCTTTCTTTCTTTCTTTCTTTCTTTCTTTCTTTCTTTCTGTCTTTCTTTTCTTTTTCTTTCTTTCATTTTTCTCTTTCTTTCTTTCTGTCTTTTTTCATTTTTCTATTTCTTTCTTTCTTTTTCTTTTTTCTTTTTTCTTTCTTTCTTTCATTTTTCTTTCTTTCTTTCTTTCTTTCTTTCTTTCTTTCTTTCTTTCTTTCTTTCTTTCTGTCTTTCTGTCTTTATTCATTTTTCTATTTCTTTCTTTCTTTCTCTTTCTAATGATGATAATGATGATGGTGATGATGATATTATCTTTATTTTCTGCTTATATATATATATATATATAAATATAAAAATCTAAACTATTACATCTTATAAAATGATAAAAGAAAAACATTTAAACCAGATTACATTATTACTGAAATATATGTACAGTAGAAGTAAAAATAAATAGCCCACTTGTGAAATTACAAATTATTATTTTTAAAAATATTTCTTAAGTCTTGTTTGATGGTGCACATTATAAACATAATAGTCTTTGTAACATACTAATTAAAATCTTTAATTTTTGAATGGTGCATAATATTTATACTTATTTTTGCAAGATGCTATTCATTAACCTTAAAGTGCAATTTGAAGACTTAACTAGGTTAGCTAGGATAATTAAGTTATTGAACAGTGCTGTTGTTTTGTAGAAAATCTGAAAAGAAAAACATTTTATAGGGCACCTATGATGAAAATCATACTGTGTCTAGGTTTAGTGTTCAGTCATGATATAAACACAATAAATCTCTCTTTTTAAAATGTATGAATTTAAAGGATCCAAATCCCTGCAATTTTGAGGCTTACTGCAACCAAATTGAATGACAGCCACCGATTAACATGTCTTCATAGTAACACATATAATCATATCCACAAGACAGGACATGCGCAAAGCAACTGGGATTAAAAGCTCTGTTCAGCTCTCTGTGATCATCAGCACCTCGAGAATGAGTTTTACAAGTTTAAAATGATTTTCGAACAGTGCATGTTTGTAATAAAGACGTGTATCTCGTCACATGTGCCATGCAAAAACATGCAAAGTCTCAAGCCTCTACGAGCGACTTGCAGTGGCAAAGTGACAAGCGACCGTTCATATCAATAGAGAGTAAGTGACATCTGGCGACTTCTGCCTTTGCGAGCGACAGCAATATTTGGAGAACATGTGTTTATGATGAGCGACACAAAAAAGACAAGAATACTTCAACTTTATGCAAATGAAGAGCAACTTTCTTGAGCGACAGCCAATAGGAGCACCAGTAAAGCTCACATGTTCCTCTCTCAGCTCGCTCAGAGGCCGGTTGTATTCTCTGTGCTCAGACCTGCATTTGCAGCAGATCGCCACCCAGAGCGACAGGCAGCTACAAAGTCGCTGCTAGTGTGAATGAGGCTTCATCAGTGCAGAAAGGCTTGACTTCCACAACAAATATATCAAATAAACTTTGGGAAAGTTCTTACTGGAGTACGGGAGATCTGCTTCATTCTTGTCTGTCACTGTACTGTTTATCTACGTGAAGGCTACACGCAATACAGCATTCAAGAGTTCACACTTAGCTGATGATTGATTATAAGCAAGTTTGGCATGCTGTCCCGGGAGAGAGCCCTGAGCTCGAAGGTTCTTGAGCCCTGGGCTCCCTCCTGTTTGGAGGAAGAGAGGGGAGCCTCGAGCTCAGGTAGATCTCGACAACTCCCCTTTTTATAATAGCTAAAGATTAAGATTGAAGGCTATTAAAAGATATGCTGCATTATTAGATTACCTGTATTGAAATTTAGATTTAACGATTAACTTGTTGTACATGTTTTTGGACTGTGGGAGGAAACCGGAGAACCCGGGGAAAACCCACGCAAGCACGGGAAGAACATGCAAACTACACACAGAAACGACCACCGGCCTGTTAAGGAACTAGAACCGGTGATGTTCTTGCTGTGAGGCGACAGTGCTAGTCACTGAGCCACCGTGCTGCCCTATGAAGGGAAAGGTGAAAAGGTAGGGGTGGAAGGGGGGATTCTTCAAATCGAAGATGACTGTAGTGAGAAAACCCTGGCTCTTTAAAGTGGTTAGTAATGGCCTGATTGGTGGATCAAGCATGCTAATGCAGAAATTAGTTTATGAATAAACTTCACATAGTGAGCGATCCCAATAGCTCTGCCTCTGACACACATGTGGGAACAGTGGGTGGGGAGAACCAGCTCATTTGCATTAAAGGCACAGGCAACAAAAACAGCTACAATGTCATAACAGCTCAAATTTCCCAGATTCAGAAAAGTATAATAAATGATCTGATGGGTATTTTGAGCTGAAGCTTTACAGACACGTTCTGGAGACATGAAAGACTTATCTTAAATCTTTAAAAAGGGGTAAAATAGGTGCCCTTTAAGGAAGGCTAATAATATTGATGTAAATTTATTTTTTAATTATTTAAAATCGTTTATATATATATATATATATATAGTAATAACTGTTTGTTTGAGGTTTTATTTTGAGATAATCAATAATTTTTCAATAAAACCATTATCAACATCTTGTTAAAAAGCTGTATTTTCACCTTATTACATGGCCACTAGCCAAATAAATAAAACGGATGTGAAATATTGATTTGAAATTCAGCATACGAGTTGAAAGATTGATGTGAGAGACATCTGGCGCATCTAGGAAATCAGTTGCCTGGAAACCACATCCAATTACACAGTTTAGCATCATCAAAGAGCAAAAACTGATCATAGAAAGCAGCACTTGAGCGAGAGAAGCACTGACATGTAGAGTTAAGCAGAGTGCCATGTACTGTAGTCAGATTTACAGTAATATTTTTGTTGTTGTTTTTTATGACAGCCCTGAAATAACTATTATATTTAAAATACATTGGATAAAATCTCTGTGGTAAATATCCCTTGGGAAATATTTTTACAAGAATACAAATTTTACAGTAGGGCTATGTCTGATAACTTTATTTTCTTGCTGCCTTTTTTGACCCCTATTTACACCCACTGATATTGTGGTAGACAGTTTAAGTCTGAATAGATAAAAGAAGGCGATTTATGGATGCTATTCATACATGTTTGCATGATTTTATGCATACAATGACCTCTGAAGGTTTTAGTGTTAATAACCTATTTAAGGCTTAAAAACCCACACTGCATGAAAAGGTGAAGGTGAAATCCCAAAGCACAGAAACTGACGTGTCCAATGAAGCAGGAGCTCAGTCCACGCTGGAGAAAGTAGGATTAGGGCTGTTAATTAAACTGCACAACTCTGGAATCGTATAAAACCAGGGTTTAGATTCGCTCTCTAATCACTCATAATCCAACTGCATTGAAAACCTGAACTGTTGAACTAGCCTTTAGTTGGTGAAGAACAGCATCAGCCGCAGTGACCTGGTTTTAATGCGCACCAGAACCAGTTTCTAATTAAACCTGCCCGACCACAAGCTGTTTGCTTGAAACTCACACATACTATGGTAATTCATGCTGTCTGAGGAGTTCACGGCTCCACCTTTCTCTCTCAGAGGTCTGGATGAAAGTGGACTGTTTTTGTTGGTTATACTAAATAACGCAGTAATTTTATTCAAGTAGGACATCTTCATGAATCAGCAATTTTTAAGGGTCTTAGAACGGTTTCAAAATATCCAGTTAGTGACACTATAAAGCATGCTCATTTTGGCCAATGAGTTGTGCTATAAAATAAATGTTTTACTGCCTTGGAAAGTACTTTAGCACTTACATTAAATCTTAACTTGTACTTTTATGTTAATTAAAAAAATAATCATTTAGTTTTAACACAGTTTTGAGGAGTTTTTTTGAACGTTTCTCACTGGAAATGCAATTCAGTTCCAGATTTGGAAAAGAAATACACATAGATATGTGATGCAAATGGTAAAATGTATTGCTTTGCTATGGTAAAAGTGTTTTGGAGTGATTACATATTATGGTGCAAACTAAAAGACTTGACAGAGTCTTTGTTAATTAATCATCAGCCTCATAATAATCATTAAAGGGCACCTAGGTTACCACTTTTTTCAGATTTAATATAAGTGTTTTGCGTCCCCAGAATGTGTATGTAAAGTTTCAGCTCAAAACACCCATCAGATTTTCCACCAGGGGGCTGTTTAATCGTACTGCGCCTTTAAGGACAGTCCGCCTCGCCCTTGTATTTCTACGTGGCTTTCTGCGTGCCTTAATCTCCTCCCTCGGTTGCGTCAAACAACAGACAGACAGACTTAGGAAGAAGATCTCACGTAGCGTTTGTGAGAAATACTACAGTAAGAACTTTACCAATGAGTATTTGTTGTGGAGAGACATCAATGAGTCACACACTTAATGTCAATGTACAAAGTTCACTTGTGCGCGCGCACACACACACAGACACACACACACATCCATGTATGGTCTACTTTTCTTAATTCAATAGGAAGAAGGTCATTTGACACACCAAACTTATTGGGAATTTCATAAGAAAAAAAATTGTGTGCTACAATGAAACAATGGTGAACATACAAGATGTGCAGCACCTGAAACTGCGGATACTGGAAGCCTGTGCTGGCATTTTTCCAGCGGTGTTCCTATCAGTGTGTGAAGAGTGGGAGAAAAGTTGCATTGACTATTCAACACAAGGGGCAGCACATTGAACACATTTTATATGTGGTCAGAAACTTGTAAATAACTCATGAAAGAATAAAGTTACATTAAAACCAAGCACACCATTGTTTTTTATGTGAAATTCCCAACAAGTTTGATGTGTCAAATCACCCTCTTCCTATTGAAAAAACAAACGTTGGATCCAAAATAGCCGACTTCAAAAAGGCCACCATGGTCACCACCCATCTTAAAAAGTTTGCCCCCTCACATATACTAATGTGCTAAACAGGACGTTAATATCACCAACCATTCCCATGTTATTAAGGTGTAGCCCACCCTGTATCTTTATAATGTCCAGAAGTCCAACTTTTTGTGCAATGTTAGCATCTTCATCTGCCTTTTGGGTGCTATCACAGGTGCTTTTGACAGTGCAAAACTTTTAGTTTACATTGTGGGGTTTGTTGGGCACAAATTGGCTGCTTTTGAAACAGCCAATGAAGTATTGTAGGAATCGACCACTGTAGGACTTATTTTTATGTTGTTTGTTTTAGCGACAATCCTTTGACATCAGCAATCCATCCACAAGTACTATTATTTGTACAGTATATTCTTACTCCTCAGATTTTTAAAATTATTCTTCTAAATGGAGTCAATAACATCCAAAGCACCAATCAGAGTGTGCATTTATATGATGACCTGATGTAGATTTCTTACAAAGTATTTTACAGTATTTTAAAAATGCAAGACACTAAAGTAATTTGTGACAAAATATTCTGCCATTTTTATAAACCCTATGAAATACAAATTACAAAATACTATTTCGTATTTAAATTACATATTTAAAATGCTTGTATCATAAATACTGCCCATCCCTGACCACAGCTGCATAGTGTACACAGCTATACATTTCAGTCCCACAACAGGAATACTGAATTGTAGAGGTTTAATCAGGTTTATTTTGTACAGTAACTTAGCTATTATGGTTCTATGCAGCAGCATATTTACCCATGTAGTTGCATCCTGACACATTTGCAGCGAGTAGATGATCAAAAACAGCACAACATGTTAAACGCGTGTACATGTGTGCTAATTTGTTTGTGTGTGTGCATGTGCACATTGATTGGTGTGACAGCATTTTGTGTGGCTTATTTATCTTACTCTAAAAACTATAGTATTTGTGAGTGTGGGTCTCTGTTTCATTGTGTCTGAGTTATTGTTTGTCTGTGTTTATCCTGCCATCCGGGCCTGGTTTTCCTTCTCTGAAGCTAAATGTTTCAAGTGTATGCATGGAGAGCCAGCTAATTTTCATTTAAAGGCACAGGTGCCAAAACATCTACAATTCTCTCTGACCCAAAAATGTACATTTTCAACTGGGTATAAATTATATGATGGGTATTTGAACCTGAAACTTCACAGACACGTCTTATTTTACATCTTGTAAAAAGGCCAAAATTTGAGTTCTTTAAAACTTTTCATTTAAGAACTTTTAAGTTATACAATATACCTATATAAATAAACTTTTAAATGAGCAAGAACTGATCTAATGCTCAAACTGGATACAAATGCTGAGGATGTTATTTCATAAGCGGTGAATCATGATGTGTTTTCCTCTCTCCCAACAGTTGCAGGTCTGGGTGACATGCAGCCTCACAGTAGAACCTGTGAGTTCACTTTTTTGTTTGGTTTTGATGTTCCATTTTACTTTGTTTCACTTGGTCAGACGTGTTTATAAACCTTTACTTGCATCCCATATAAAAAAAGTTCCATCCTGAAGTATTTCATCAAGCATAAGCAAGTTGATTGTTCTGACTGTTTTTGTTTTTGATTGGGCTCTTTGTTGTTTATTTGTTTTCATCTCATTACTCATTAAAATGCACCCCTGAAACATTTTTCCATTTTATGTCTCTTCACAGCAAGCCCACACCTTCACTGTGAGGATGAGATATGCTTGGATTTCATCAAAGAGTATTTTATGAATTGTAAGAGCTCAAATTTAGTGAGATTCAAAAATAGCTTAGATCATAAATGCACCTTGTGTATTTAACATTTGCATATATACATACACACAGTAAGGTATAAATTAGGTATATTACAACTATACAATTAGGTCCATAAATATTTGGACATTGACACAATTCTAACATTTTTTGGCTCTATACACCAATGCAATGGATTTGAAATGAAACAAAAGGGATCTGCTTTAACTGCAGGCTGTGAGCTTTAATTTGACGGTATTTACATCCAAATCAGGTGAACGCTGTAGGAATTACAACAGTTTGCATATGTACCTCCCACTTGTTAAGGGACCAAAAATAATTAGACCGAAAAATAATCATAAACCAAACGTTCACTTTTTAATACTTGGTTGCAGTCTGATACAGCCTGATGTCTGGAACACATAGACATCAACAGACATTAGGTTTCATTCCTGGTGGTGCTCTGCCAAGCCTCGACAACAACTGTCTTCAGTTCCTGCTTGTTTTTAGGGCATTTTCCCTCAAGTTTTGTCTTCAGCAAGTGAAATGCATGCTCAATTAAATTCAGGTCAGGGGATTGACTTGACCATTACATAACATTCCACTTCTTGCTTTTCCAGTATGCTTTAGTTCATTCTCTATCTGCACTGTGAACCGCCCAATGAGTTCCGAAGTATTTGGCATAGTATGAGCAGAAAATATTGCCTTAAACACTTCAGAATTCATCCTGCTGTTTTTGTCAGAAGTCACATCATCACTACAAGAGACCCAGTTCTATTTCAGCCATACATGCCCACACCATGTCACTACTACTACCACCATGCATCTCCTTACTCTTCTTGTCCCATCACGCTGGTACAAGTTAATCTTGATCTCATCTGTCCATAGGATGTTGTTCCAGCACTGTGAAGGTTTTTTATAACTTATAATTTGGCCTTCTTGTTTTTGAGACTCACCAATGGTTTACATCTCGTGATGAACCCTCTCTATTCACTCTGGTGAAGTCTTCTCTTGATATTTGACTCTGACACACATACACCTGCCTCCTGGAGAGTGTTCTTAATCCGACCAGCTGTTGTAAAGGGTGTTTTCTTCACCAGGGAAAGAATTATTTGGTCATCCACCACAGTTGTTTCTGTAGTCTTCCAGGTCTTTTGGTGTTGCTGAGCTCGATGGTGCATTCCTCCTTTTTAAAGAATGTTTCAATCAGTTGTTTTGGCCAGACCTAATGTTTTTGCTATCTCTCTGATGGGTTTGTTTTGTTTTTTCAGCTTAACGTTGGCTTGCTTGACTGATAGTAACAGTTCTTTGGATCTCATCCTGAGAGTTGACAGTAACAAATTCCAAATGCAAAATATACTCTGAAATTAACTTGAAATGAACTTTTGACCTTTTATCTGCTTTTTGTAATTGAGATAATGAGGAATAACACACACCTGGCCATAGAAAAGCTTAGAAGCCAATTGTCCAATTACTTACATATGCAAAACTGTTGTAATTTCTACAGCGTTCACCTGATTTGGATGTAAATACCCTTAAATAAAAGCTGACAGTTAAAACACATCTTGTTAACTTAATTTCAAATCTATTGTGTTGGTGTATAGAGGCAAAAATGTTAATACTGTCCAACTATTTATGGACCTACCTGTATAAATGTGTTGCTTTCTTAAAAACAAAATGTTCTGACTGCAAACTTTTGTATGGCATTGTTTATTATCATCATTATTATTATAGTAATAGTGGTAAAGTGGTTCTTCAACTGTTGTTGTTCTTTGTTATTATCACCATTATTAGTAGTATTTGTAATTGTATCTGTGAACAATGCAAATTGTTGTAATAATACTTATCAATGTTTGTAATTTTCCAGCTTATCAATGGCAAACATCAGACTGGCATGACGCCTCTCTGCCAGGTATGGAATCACCACCTCGAGACCAAACCCCTACACCACCACCTCCACCCCTCCCTGCTCCACCACCTCCACTGACCCCTTCACGGCTAGGTGGCACACCGACCCGTCTGGGCGGCAGCGTTCGATTGGACGGAAGCACTCTATCGCTGCAGACTGGCTACCCGTTACGACGGTACCATGGCCAGAGAGATTTCCACACTTCTTTAACTCTGGATGATAACGGTTCACCAGTTTATGAAGAATATCGTGATCCAGATCATTATGACACTGCCTCTACTATTCACCCGCTGGGATTTAGTGAAGGACGATCTAGACCTGACTACCATCACTCCAGTCAATACTTGCTTTCTCACCCTCCTCTACTTGCCTGGGAAGAGCGTCCGCGTGTCTGGGAAGATGCTCACACCTTCGGTAGCCAGCAGGAGATCGACAGGCTGGGCAGGATTTCGCTTCGGGCTCGTTTGCGGGGTCAGAGCCCAAAGACATCTCTGTCCAACATGAGAGATTATTATTGACCATTACCTTGACAGAAAGTGCTCAATTTTACTCGATACATGTGATCATGCTACTGACGTCAAAGTGTGTGCTAATCTGTTGGGAATGGAAGCAGCCTTAAGCCCAAAGTATACATCTTTTCTAAACTGTATTCACGCAAGTAACAGATACCAAATAGTAGGAACTGTGTGAGTAAAGCTTACTTCCCTGGTCTCAAGGTAGCTGGACTAGCAAATGATGTTAGATCAAATCTTGCTCTGAGGGATTCGAAATGGGTTACATTGGTGCCATGACCCTGTTTGTACTGAGGCTTTTGGGGGAGGGTGGGGTGTAATGTAGACCAGTTTAGCAGGGGAGAGTGTAACGTGGAAAAAATAATGGGAGTTGTGTAAGTAAACCTCACCCCCCTCTGTCTTACGAGATGCACTAAAGTTTCTAGCATCCTTGTTGGAGTACATGTTTCTCATGTAGATCCACAGGTTTAAATCCTGGTGCGAGTAAAACCAAAAGAGGGAGTTATTTTTTTGCTATTTTGCTATGACCCCTAATGAGTAATGATTAGGTTGGTGAAAGTAATGGGTAATGAAGATCAGCTACTTCCCATGCTAGAAGTGTTTAAATCTCACTCTGAGCAATGGTGTGTAGAACTGCAGGGTTTGCATTGGTGCCGTGACCCGGATCGGAATGAGATTTAAGTGCATGAGTGTAACAGAGGACATTTAGAAGGAGCTGTGTGAGTAAACCTCAGTCCTTTCACTACTAGATTCTAGAGGCATACTTGAGGCAGAGGTATTTAGTATTTAGTTGGAGAGCCATCCTGCCATCCTGGAAACTGCAGTACCAATGGAGGTGTTGCACATCCACAGTTAAATGCACAGGTCTGCAAATTTGTGTAAGTGAAAATGTCTTAAGTCATTTCACACAGGTGCTTAATAACATCTTACTTATATCTATTAAGCAGATGCTTTTTATTCAAAGCAACGAGTGAGAATTAAAAGCGCTTCAGATCACCAGAGAACAGCAATATATAGATGCCATGACAAGTCTAAGTTAGCTTAGACTTATTTTATTATTATTAAGTCCTTGTGTCAGAGTTTGTAGGAGAGTGTCTGGTGCATGTAAAGAAGACTGTGTACCTCTGTGAAGCACACTGAGAGATGCACAACAATTTCCCACAAATATGAGAACATATTTGTCTATCAAGCCTTGTTTTTTGTGTGTGTTTTCACATTGTGATACAGCTTGGTTCAAGATATACAAACTAGGTAGTAAAGAAAAACTCAAATCACCTGTGTGAACTGAAAATATGTTGTAAACCTACGTAGAAATTTTGTGCTGTGTTGTTTTGATGCACATTCTAGTTTACACTTAAAAAGTATACTTTGGGCTTCAGTCATACTGTTAATTAGTAACACCTCTTCATGTGCTTTTTGAAAGGAATTGTTCACCCAAAAGTGAAAATCCCCATCATTTACTCACCGTCATGTTGTTCCAAACATACACCCAAAGAAGATATCTTTAAGAAAAACTCATAAAGATTTGGAACAACATGATGGTGGGTACATTTTTGGGGGGTTAACTTGGTGAGAACATGCATAGTTGTAATCAACCCAGGCTCATTGTGGATATGTGTCCAGGTCTACATTTCTGGGGACAGTGAAATACATAACCTTAGGTACGTCTGCTTGTACTTTTTGCAAATCCACCAGATGTTTATACTTTTTGATGATTACAAATTCCTTTCACGCGTCCACTTTTCATGTAAATGATCCGGCACCTCGTTTTACCGAACTCCCTCTTCACGCATCCCTCCTCCCTGCTCTTCACCTTCATCTACGACAACACCCACCCCACCAACTCTTCACTTTCGCATTCCCTACACCTCTCCCTCCTCTGGTAACATGCCGGATTTATTACCCAGATCTGTTCCGGGACCTCGCAATTTACAATTTTACAAATTAAGCACTGCCTACTCCCAACCCAACCAATAGTGTTTTAAAAAGCAATCTAGAAAAAGAAAAGTCGGTGTGATTTCACCCAATTTTCAGCCTGTTGTTTATTTATTAATAGATTTATTTTTTGGTTTTGTGTTACCTGGTTTCTGGAACCATTCTTTACCGGACTTCACCATCTCAGTCAACTCCGCATTCCAAGTCAGACAATGTATGAAGTGAGCAACTGAGCAAACTGGTAATGCTGGAAAAGCCGTCCATGCGGAGGTGAGCGGTCAGCTAGTGACTCTGTCGTTGGTGACATCATACTCCCCGTAGTGTTCATTTTAAAGGTGAAATGCAGCCAGACAAACCTCTCCAGAAATGTAGACAGGTGTACGTATCCACAATGAGCCCTTAGTTGGATTTAACACACTCTCATGTGTTCATTGAAGAAGCTGTCTGAGACCGGCTTTGTGTTGATATGCTACTGTGTTTGTGAAACCAAATATGTTATTGATGGAATCCGGATACAGGGTTGTTTCTCAACCAGGAAGGCTACAACTTATAAGGGGCCTCAAAATGGTTTTAACTTAGCATTAAAATAATCTAAAATATTTAAATCAAAATGCTGCTTATTTTATTGACCAACCACTCAACAATGTTTTTGTATTTATTTAGTTGTGATATTTTAATTATAGAGCTAGGATTGAGAGTCTTCGAAAACATGGATATAAGAGGCAATTTTAAAAGTATACTTTCTAGACCTGAATAAATATGAAATTTATCACATAGAAATATAGTAAAAATATATATTTGTAAAATACTTATCCTTACTCCTTGTCCATTGAATTATAAAAAAAAAATTATATATTTTCAGCCCTTTGGATATAGATGTGGATAACAGGCCTAAAATCTTCCAAATAAATGTTTAAGTATGTCCTTGGACTGCCAATGTTTTGCTATGACACATGATGAAGAGAAGTTTTATTCCTGTGTAGAAGCCGTGGAGAAAAACAAGTCTGTTTAATTAGTATTAACGAAGCTTAGGTTTGTATGGATCTGGTAATGTGTGTACTCAAAATGATTCCAGGACTGGAAGCGCACAGGTGCGTTTAGCTCAAGTGAAAAGCTGTTTATGTATTCTTGTGCTCTTTTTGTGTCTTGTCAGTAATGCACACAGTAACTCCATATTAATCACTCATTACACATCTGTCATCTTACAGTGTTTTGCTCTTTCTGCTTCTTTTTGTGGATATTCTTTCATTTAGAAGCAACGGTTAAATCTCCACAGAACTGTCATGGGGGTATGTTAACATCTGTGATGAATGATTCATGTGTACGTTATGTTGTAGATTTCAGTTTGAGCATATTGAACATGTTGTATTTATAAAGTGACTCATAAAAATCACTTCAAGTGCTTTTTATTGTTTTGAGTTCACACTTGTTTGGTACTGTTTAGTAAAACAAACATTATTCTGTTAAAGCGACTCATTGGAATAACGTTTGTGTGAACACTATTTTCATCCGGGTCCAAAATACATGTTAAACATAGTCTGATGTGGTTCTAATGTAACAAGGACCAAGAACCAAAAATGTCACATAAAATGTATTTATTTATTTACCTTATAGACCTTTTTCATGGAATGCCAACATTACCCTTGACACGTTGTGTGTATGCGTAAAGAGGATGCTTAGAACTTCCAAATCATCAGCTTTATGCATATTAAGAGTCACATTTGGACAGCTTTAAAATGACAGTTTTAATTGCTATTAACTCATACCTGCCAACTCTCATTTTTCCTGGCAGTCTCTCGTGTTTCAGACCAATCTCCCACCACCCTCTCGTTTTGTTATTTCTCCTGGAAAACTCCTGGAATTTTGCCCTCCTTCCCACTGGGTCCTCAGCTTTTTGGTACAGTCTGTAAAATTCTTCCCGGGACATCGACTTTGATCTGGTCTCTGATTGCAGCGGCCGCCCGAAACCCGGCTCTCAACTGTGTTATTCAGACACCTCACCCCCAACACCAAGCCTCCCATGCCAAACACTGCATCCCAGATGTTTAGAGACAAATGTTCGCAGGTATGTATTAAGGTCTTTGAACTAATCCTGCTGCTGATCAGTGCCACCTTCCGGATGATTATTTAAAAAATGTGATCTAATGGGAATGAAAAACAATCACTGTAATTTACCCTCATCGTCAGATGGCATCTTGTGCCATTTAAATGGAGCTTCGTCATCGCTAAAGTTAACATTTTCTCTTACATAACCAACTTATAACCAACCCAAACAAATGTAATTGACCAAAATGTTTGACACACACACACATAACCTGTACTTTCCCACCGACACATTGATTGAAAAACCGACACAAAGTGAAAAAAAAGTGGCATTTTGAAATGACAGAAAAACACATACAGTGGTAAATACTACACAACACAAACTAACTAAATGAAACATAATGGCTCCTGATGAGAATCAACATGCAAATCCGCTAGCAGAGTATGAGTAACTTACTTTTATTTGTTAGAAATTGCATATTTACATACTCATTTTTATGCTAGTAATATGGTTTGCTCTTTATAATACAGTGATGTATTAAGAGTGTTGTGTGTGTGGACCTGGGAGAGCTCTGTATAACACCTGACAGGTTGGGAACACTGACGATATATATTTCAGCGTCTGATCTGAAGGCAGACATTAAATTAGGGGAATGTTTTTCTCTTGCGCTTGAACCACATCTCATAGAAGTAGAATATAACAGCTTACTCAAAATGGTACTGATACCCATTTTCGGATTGCGATTTACCAGTTGTAAATGCTGTAAACGGAAGTTCTAACCATCCGACCGGAAGGCGATGGTCGCCATAGCTGCATTCAGAAAAGGGTCTATAGGTTTGGATTAAAAACTCAAAGCGAACCAGAACTATATTGTTTGGTCCAGAACAACCACTGTACAAGTGTGAACACACCCTCAGTCTACCAGGCTACAAATAGAAATATATGATTTGTAACTTAATGTTTCATTGTATGTTTTTACAATTGCCCATATAGAACTGAAATGAAATCCACAGTGCAAGACTGTTTTTGAAGCCATGACATATATCTTGCTTAGATATTTTTAATATTTGATTTTTATGATCATGAATACTTGTGAATTTTATTAATTCATAATGTTTTTTTTACAATTGTTGTTATAGCATCTTCGTGGAATCATTTTATAAAGAATGCTAATTAATAGGAAAAAAATCTTGATTTTTATTTTAGTTTGATATTTAGTTAAGCAAAATCTTTTAACCGGAGGATATCTTAATAAAGCAATAAATCTGATTATTTTAATGGTGTTCGAGATGACCGGATGGGTCGGAGGTTCTAGTGGTCTGTATTGTGCTCATACATGTTAACGTTGTCCATGTAGAGTGTAAATCTTATGTTGCATGTGTGACTAAAACACATTGTGTCATGTAAAATAAGAAGAATAATGCATAACAGGTATATTGTACATACTGATAATAGTAAAGATGTTTCCTCTAATAATATTGTTATGTCTATTTGATAAAGTAATGTTTATGTAATTCCAACACAATCTCACGGCAATTCGTAACTTTTTCATTTATTGGCTAATTCGTATGAATTCGCACTGTCTAATTCGTACAATTTAGTATGATTTGCTTATCCCCCAATGACAGTTGGGGTTAGGGGTGGGGTCAGGTGCCACGCCTCCTTTTTAAAATCGTACCATTTCGTACGACTAAACTCGTACAAATTCGTACGAATTAGCCACTAATCTGGCAAAACGTAAAATACTTACGTTTTCTCGTGAGATCAGGCTGGTAATTCCTCAAGGAGAGAAGAATTTGTTTTCTGAAAAGCTCTTCACTCCCAATTTTTTTATGCAAATTTATGTGAATTACAACTGATGGTAATTTCTGTTCCTTTTAAAATCTCCCATGTTTGACACTTAATTGAACAGTTCGACGGGAATTACTGCCATATGCACATATAATGAAGGAAAACAAGCTTTGCACAAGCCAGTCTTCCCTTCCACAGGAGTACAGTTGCAATGTTATGCAGTGTTCCAGTTTTTGATAGTTACATCATTGTTTGTTCCATTATTTGTGGAAGAAGCACACAAAAGGACACTCCTGCTGAAGGCAAACAATTTAAGACACTATAGAATTTCCAAATGCATTATTTGTTCTTTTGCGGAGACAACTGCACAGAAGACGATGCAATCCGATTGCATGATCCAAAGCTTGTTTACAGGCTGTGTTCCAAGAATCCGGCTTATATGATCGAAACATAATGACGCTTTCATTCCTGGGCCCTTTTTTTTTCTTTGTTGTATGGTGACATCTCCAAGAATAGGCTGGATTCATCAGAGAAGGGGGTCTTGTAAACATCATGCATTTCTCTGCTTTTATGCTGTGGGTGTTTCGGTAAATGTGAGCGCTTTGTTTTTTTCATGTTTGAAAGTGCTTCAAATGCACAGTGAAAATAATTAGCATATATTTAGTAAATTACTTCAACTTTTGAGTATGTTTAATGCATAGCGGGTTAGAAAAATAGGTTACATGGCCAGCTGCACATGCATTTACACACTGTCGCATTAAACAGTCTATTCATAACTGCATTATGTTTTGAAAATCAAGTGGCTAATTTGAACAAAATTGTGCAATCTCATTTGCACACATTAGTACAAACAGCTTGCGTCCCATTGATGTGTGTAGTTTTAATTATTCATTTATTTGTTTTATTTTTATCATACATTTCTCTGTGTAATCCTGTTTTCCCCACAGGATAAAAAAAAAGAAAAAGGCTTTATTTGGACTTTTCCCCCCCAACCAATTTTACATTTAATTCCACAGTTCTGACTATTTTTTTATGAATGCTGTACAGTATGTCGCATTGACTTCAAATATTGCAGATCTTATAGTAGTTCTGCATTTAAATCATTCAACTATTCTGACTATTTTTCTGACTTTCAGTTCTGAGTTGATATCTTTTCACACAATAATTTTACATCTTTTTTTTATTATTTACTCAGTTCATCTCTCAATAAAATATAAATTAGTTTTTTTTTTTTTTAAATTCTGACTTTTATTTTATTCCCAGTTCAGATCATTAAATTCCACATTAGGAGATTGCTTGATGCAATTTGAAATTGACATTTTAATTCTGTTTTTTGTTCAATTATATATCTTGTAGTTCTGAGCTTATGCGTTGCACAATTCTTTTCCAATAAACATGCTCATTCACTTGTTTATTTTCCTTCAGCTTAGTCCCTTATTTGTCAGGGGTCACCACAGCGAATGTGCCACCAACTACATATGTTGTGGATGCCCTTCCAGCCACAACCCAGTAATAAGAAACACCCATACACTCTCACATTCGCATACACACTCATACACCGGTGGTCCCCAACCTTTTAATCACTACGAACCGGTCATCGCTTGTCAATTTTACTGCAGACCGGTGGGGTACAAAACACTGCAGTGATTGGGTGTTCTGTGTTCATCTGAGACAATATACCAAAATGTGTGTATTTCATACAAGCTGAAGCTGATCGGTTAGTTCTTGTCACGTGACTCGCTGTGCGCTCCCAGCATTCATTCAACTGTCTGCATG